AGGGGAAACAAATGGTCTACTCTTCATCATCTCGTCTGAACCGGATGTTCTTGCCTTGAAGAAGTCTTCTAGTGGCTGTTGTTCCTCACTGTGAACAAATAAAGTCAGCGTACAGTCGGCCAATGTATATAGAAGAGTAGACGGGGGGGGCACCATACCGGTTGATATTGCTAAATTGATGTTCGCCTTGTCCTCCCTTGAGGGTCATAGTGATGTCAAATGTCCGGCTGGCTGAGACGGTACCACCGACTCGAGACATGGTGATGACTGATATGTTTTCTATTTGGATGTATGTGGCTGGCTTGGGCACGAACATGAAGCTCTTGTCCAGACAGAACAGGAGACCCTCGTTGGCCTTCGTTGAGCACTTTACACCACTGTGGCCGTGGTGACTGCAGGAAGTCAGTCACTCCATGAAAAATAAACAACATTGATGATGTTAGTAGTAATGCCTGCTCTTACCTGGAAAAGTCTCTTGATGGCATGATGACTTTCTTCCCTGAAAGACCTCGGAAGACCTTTGTGACGACTTGGTGGATGGGCTCCTCATAGTGAGCTTCGAGCTTGTCCTTGTATCGGGATTGAAGGAGTTCACTGAGTGATAGTTAGTTCAATGTTCACAGCTAGTAACTATCAACGGGTATAGAGAGGGACAGTCTTACTCGGTCATGTTTAGATCAATGCTGATTTCATCATCCAGCTTCAACTGCATGACCAGGAACGGGTATCTTGTCTGACCCTGTCGAAGAGGCGGGTCCAAGCCAAGGGTAATAAGGGTGTGAGTGTCGTCGTTCTTGGGGAGAAGGAAGAACTTCTTGATGGACTGATATTGGATCTTGTAGTCGTATGTCTTACCCCTGAGTCGGAATGAGCTCTCGTACATATCCATGTCGAACCGACCTCTGCAGAAAACGCATGTTAGCATAACAGGTCCGACAATTAGAAAGCACAGTAATGTTCCCAAAAAATAAAACGATAGCTTCAACGAACCTGGGGGTAAGATGTAGGACATCAAGGAAGGTAGCAAAAGTGTCACCGGCAACATCACCAATCTCCGCCTTGTCCATGAGGGTCTCATAGAACAAGTTTGCCGCATTCTGCTCTTCGACTTCTTCCTCGCCATCGGCGCTTTTGTTATCTTCGCCTTCGCCTTGCTCGTCCCCTTCTTCCTTCTTGGTCACTGTCCCGGGGATGTAGAATCTCATCTCGACAAGCTCGTCTCTGCCCACGCCGGCCTTGCGACCTCTGTTCTTCGTACTGCCTGCAGGCTGTTCCTTGGCAGTCGACGCATCATCCGTAGGCAAGAAGAATTCAACAGCGACTTCATTCCTGCCAGCCAAGTTTGTGTTTGAGATTTCCGAGTAAGGGACTTCAAAGGCAGGACGGTTCTGGACATTGAAGCTAAGCTCCGCCTTGCCGAACTCTGCTTTGCCCCAGTTCCAGCCTCGTAGGGCATGTTCTCTGTTCGTGAGGTTGACGCCGTACCAGATCTTGAACGCTTTGCTAGCTCTGTCGAAGTCCTGTGAGGGTTCACTGTCAGAATGCGCATATTATCGATTGCAATCGTCGTTTAAGAGTAACGTACATCCTGGTCAAACCCGTCGAGCTGGATAACTCCACAGGTACGCGAGAATATCTTCAGCTCGTACCCTTTGGCGGCTCTACTCCATTCAGCAGCACCTATATTGCTCTTGTCGAGGGTGAAGGTGTCTCCGCCGCCGGATGGCTTCCAGCCCATGCCGCTCTCCGCGAGCTTGCATTTGCCCGGCTGCTTCGAGAGGTCAAGGTATATGTTTTCGAAGCTCTCCCTGGCGCCGAAGAGTCAGTCTCACCGTGGCCGGGCAGCAGCGCTTTCAATGGGGGCAGGAGGGTAGCTTACATCTCGACTGGGTCGCGCGTTGCTGGCTGAACCACGAAGCTTCACCGAGAAGCCACAAAGGTCAATTATCAATCTGCAGGTGGACTCGAAGCTGCTCCTCCTCTCAGATCTTCTTTAGTTTTCACTCTACAATCTCACGTTCACTTTCTCACTTCTCTTTCTCTTTCTCTTCTTCTTGACTTTCCTTCTCTTTTTTTCTATCGCGTTTTCGGCTTCACGAAAGCTCTTTATCAGAGTTGGCGCTAAGCCTAATCAGGAACATCACCCATCCTACTTTATTGTACTTTATGTCTTTATTTTGTTATATTTAAACTAAAAGATGGAGATAGATATATAGATAAATAGAGCAGAGGAGCTACAGTGACTCTTTACTGCGCTGTGTTGACCTTAATATACCATAGTTAACACTACAGTTAAGCAGTAGATAACTGGTAGTTAACTAGCTACGCCGAGTACTGGGCCCAGCTCTACTCTGGACTCTGGACTGTATACATGCAATGAGTAACTGCAGCTGGAGACAGAGTATGGCTTCTTCTGCCTGCATAACAGCATAACTAGACTATAAGACGCCCTTTACTTAGCACAGGCTGACATGTGCAGCATCTCACTCCTTCTCTTCTTTAATGGCCTTTTGGTGACGGAGCAACAGACTCATGACAGACAGACATGAACCATCATCACCATCATCATCACCACCAGCTCTACACCAGCTCTACACCAGCTCTTCTCCTACCTTTGTCTACCTGTTACTCTCTTGTTATCATCATCATAATCTACTGTCTATCTAATAACATCTACTAACATCTTCCTGTCCTGCTACTCCGGCCCGCACCAACTTTTATCCGCCTGTCCTCCAGCTGAAGAAGAAGAAGAAGAACAAGGGAATAACTTTACCTGCTAAGTTTCAGCTCTGCCCCTTTCGCTTTCGCCTTCGCCTTCGCTGCCTTTTCCAACCTCCTCGAACTTCTATCTTCATCTTCGACTCAACCTCGAGCCTTCGACGTCGCCATCGCGGTCATTTCACTCTTTTTCTTCTTCCTTTCTTTCCTTTTCTTTCGATGGAGTAGCTTCAGCTGCTGGTGCAAGGACAGATAGATAGTTGTTGGCCCTAGTTACCTACCGACCCTTTTTCACTCCTTGTTTCTGCCTTCTTAACGACCTTGCCAACGGCTTTCCTTCCTTTTTGTGACCTGTAGATCGCGCCATGTCCGATCTGTTTACGCCCTGATTCTTCTCTCTGCTGCGCTTCAGACTCTCCCCCGGCCCTTTCTCTCTGCCCTCTCGCTCTCCCTGCCTCGCTGCCTCGCTGTCTGTCCTGCTGTTGATCTATCAGGCGTGTCGCTTTTCTGCTCCTCTTTGTTCAGGGATCCAGGTGGTAGCGACGCGGCCATGGGGCGCCTCTCTCCTCAGCCTGGACAGGCGCCGTTGCCGTTGGCCAGGAACACCGGCTTCAGCTTCAGCGTCAGCTTCGTCCTCAACGTCTTCCTCGCTCTCACCATCACCACCACGCAGGCTGCCCTCTTCACGCCGACTCCGTCTCCCAACCTCGACCTCCGTCCGCTCGGCCGCATCGCCCTGGTGGGGAATTTCGACGCTGCCTCGCTCTACTCCTACAAGCCTACCATCAAGGACGGCCATGCTGGCTTCAATGGCTCTCTCAAGCAGTCTCTCATCGCTCCCCTGCCCGACGGCTCTCTCTTCCCCATATCCTCCGCCGACGCCGACATCCTGACCATGTGTCCGTTGAAGGACAAGGACGGCGCTGTCACCAGCGTGGTGGTCGGTGGTAACTTCACCAGCCTCGGAGGCGTCGAGTCCAACGGCATGGCGATTTTCAACTACAACGACATCCATGTATCCGCCGTGCCTGGCCTCTCTGGATCAGTCAACGCACTCTACTGTGACAGTGACTCGAACACCGTCTACGTCGGAGGAGAGTTCAGAAATGCAGAATCCACCAACGCTCTCACATGGTCCCCCGACTCTGGCCTTTCTAACCTGCCCTTCGGTGGGTTCAATGGACCCGTTACCTCGATTGTTCCCTCAAAGGACGGCCGAGTTGTCTTTGGTGGCTCTTTCGATGGTCTAGGAAACACGACAAGCCCAGACAAGAAGAACCAGCAGATTGTCAACCTGTTCACTGCCGAGATTTCTGTCGGCTCAGGCTCGACTGCTGGAGGCTTCAGTGACCCTAGAAATATCATCTGCCCTACCGCTGGCCAGTCTGGCCCCGGAAAGACCTGGTTGCTCACAGACAACGCCCCTGGCTACTGGCGTGCCAAGTTGCATTTTGGATTCAGACCAACTAAGCTACGGGTTCGAAACGCTGTGATGGATGGAAGAGGAACCAAGACATTCAGATTTACCGCCCTCCCGGATGGTGGAATTCTAAACATGACCTATATCGATCCCGAGAGCGGCGATAAGGTTCCATGCGATGCCAGATGCCCTCTCTCCAACGATCCAAAGCTGGCTACTCGAGACTTCTATTTTGTCAACAGCGTTGGCATGAGCTCGTTCCAGTTGGAAATCTCAGAATGGTACGGTCAGGGTGCTGGATTTACCGGTATTGAGCTGTTCCAGGATGGTACGATTTGTTTCCTCTCCTTTCCTTTCATTTCTTACTTCAACTTTTTTTGCCTTTACTCACCAACCGTCAACAGATATCTATGCATATGCCTTTGATGATCTCAACGAACCTACCTGTGCTGGTATTCCGTACCCTTCTACGTCTACCAAGTCTGGAAACTGGAACGTTCAGTCATCCCAGGAGAGCTCCTCTGACTATTTAATCACCAAAATCGACGCATCAACCGACACCACAACCTCAGTCACCATACATCCAGACATCAAGCAGTCAGGCAACTACTCCGTCACCATTTTCACACCAGGCTGTATTCAAGATGGCACCTGTGCCACGCGTGGAACCGCCAACGTAACTGCCAGTTTCAAGTCTTCAGACCATACACCCATCGTGACCTCGATATCCCAGACCAACAACTTCGACAAGTATGACCAGATATATGTCGGCCATGTTGATGCTAGCAGCAGCAAATTCAGACCATCCGTTACAATCACACCCCGTCACGATCAAGGCGTGATCGACTTTGTGGCATCTCGAATCCGGTTCCAGTTGATTTCGTCTACCGGCGGCCTCAATGGACTGTACGAATACGACCCCAAGGCAACAACTGTTGACACCAATTTCACTCGGTCCGCAATCAACAAGGCCGGTACTGAACTTGAGCCCGAAGCGACCGTCAACTCTCTCGTGTGGGACAAGGATACCCTGTTTATTGCAGGAAGTTTCACAAATGCATCCACTAGCAACATTGTGTCACTCCTAGATGGGAAAGCATCTCCTCTAGCACAGGATGGCTTGAACTTCGCCGTCAAAACTATGCAGCTCCTTGACGGTCTGCTCTACGTGGGCGGTAACTTTTCAAAAACTGCCAATGAGAAGAGCGACAATCTTGGTGGTGTTGCAGCATACTCCATATCTGACAAGAGCTGGCACGCCCTCGGCGCTGGAGTCAATGGTCCCGTCACATCGCTCGTCCTGTTCCCCACCAATGTCACTGCAGGCAAGACAGAAACAACTATTGCAGTTAACGGATTATTCACAGAGATTAACGCAGCCGGCGGTCGCCCTGCCATACCTGCCAATGGATTTGCCGTCTGGGTGCCATCAGAGAAGAAGTGGCTGCAAGAACTCAACATTGACCACATGGCGTACGTTGGCCAGCTCACTACCTCCATCCAGGTGGGCCAGGAAACCCTCTTAGCCGGAAACCTTGCTTCCGGTGGAATCGCTTCGCACGGTGCTGTCAATCTAGTTGACAACAACAAGCTTGGCCTTCGTGCCCTACCAGTCAACATCGAACTCGATCAAGGTAACGGGCCTCGGCGTAATGCGAAGCGGACGCTCGCCAATGGTAGCAGCAATGGAGTCATCACTGGCTTGTTTGATATGACAGGAGGTCGTAACCTCTCTATGCTAGCCGGCCACTTTACTGCTAAAACATCCGATAACTCTATCGTCAATAACCTGGTCTTCCTCAATGGCGCACAAAATGATGTTGTGACTGGCCCAGGCCCTGGGATCGACAAAAACTCAACCTTCCTGTCTCTTGCAGTTAACAAAGACATGCTTTTGGCTGGCGGGAAAATCTCCGGAAAAGTTGCAGACGCGAACATCAAAGGTCTTGTTGTCTATGATCTCAAGAACGAGCATCGTTATGCTTCCAGCCAGCCTTCCCCATTAGACGGCGACAATGTCGAGGTTCGCGCCATCGCCCCTCGACCAGGTACCGGTGATATCTTCGTCGGAGGAGTCTTCCAATCGGCCGGCGCCCTGCCTTGCCCGTCAGTTTGCAACCTCGAAATCCAGAACAACCAATGGAGTCGCCCGGGCACATCCCTACGCGGAGATGTTACCGTTCTTCTATGGGCAGATAATGACCAACTACTCGTTGCCGGAAACCTCACCGTTGAGCGCAACACGACCATGCTTGCTAAATACGATGCAAAGGAACAACAATGGTCAACTATCACAGGAAAGAACTCAGAAAGTTTAAGCGGCGAAGTTCGTGCCCTTGGCCTCGCACGCAGCGATGGCTCAAAGTTTTGGATCGCTGGAAAATCTACTGATGGAAATTCGTTCCTCGTTCACTACGACGGTACCGAATTCCGCTCTGCTGGTAATTTGTTTGGCGAGAGCACCCTAATTGAGGGACTGCAAGTTCTTCCGCTCACCAAGAACCACGACAAAACCGATTTACTAGATGAGAACCAATCTCTTCTAATCACAGGTAAACTCCAGCTACCAGACTTTGGATACGTGTCTGGCGCCCTCTTCGACGGAAATACTATTGAACCATTCATACTTTCAAGTATGTCGGATGGTCGACCAGGAAGCATATCTGGAATTTTCTCAGAAAATACGATCAACGTTGCTGGCCACCGTAAGTCCATCCCACTTTTTTCTATCACATATACTCCATCAAAAAACACCATGCTAACTTTATGACGCCAGGTAAACAAAAACCTAGAGGCATCGTCGTCCTCATATCCTTCTGTATAGCACTGGGCTGTGTCTTCTTCCTTGTTCTATTCGGCATCCTCCTTAACCGCTACCGCCGTTATAAGCAAGGCTACGTCACTGCTCCCCAGGGCACAGATCGAAAACCCGACCTCAATCGCGTTCCTCCAGAATACCTACTGGAGTCCCTCCGCCACCGAACCCCCGGCACACGCATCTAATCCAAACGCAGAAGCCGGACGGTCATCATCACTCTCTTCATTCATCTCACTTTCTTGCAGTTCACGTACACTCTGCCTCTGCCTTTCCTTTAGACCACAAACTTTTCCTTCTTTCCTTCCCGGAATCTTTTTCCTTTCTGTCTTACGGTACTTTTAATCGGCGTTGGGAACCTGGGAAAGTGAATACCCTCTTCCAAAACTAATGTTTGGCGTTTCAGGATCTATTATCTGGTCTCTCTCCCTCCGGGCTTTTTTTCCTTTTTCATCTCATACCCATCCTACTTGATCTTGATCATATGCGCCTGCGGGGCTAGTTCAGTTGCATATGGACATAATCCAACATTATCTGAACTTCCATACACGACGATACATCAGTCAAGTTTGGCTTTTTTTCTTCTTTCTCAACCAACAGTGCCCCCTTTGCAAAGTACCACGCTTTCGAAGGGGGGTGTTCATTTTAGTTAATTGTGTACTCCAACATGCGTTTACATCCTTTCTCTTCATTTTTTTTCCTGTTAGACACATCCGGCTTTAAATACCTTTTAGATAGCATAGCCATTGCACTTCGAAAGATACTAATGGAAACATGACTTGTTTACTCTTTGCCTTTAATCAGTAGCTAGTAAATATAACCTTCTGGGCTAATGGATTTGCCATGTATAGATTAGGTGTGGCTGTAGTTGGTGGTTACAGTTAAGTTCTTGGCCTTCTCCTCGTCCGGCGCTAAAGGCGTTAAGCTTCGGCATCCCACGCTTCGGCCATAGCTAAATCGAAGCTACACCTCTTCCTCACAAGACAGCAGATCGCAACAAACGATATCATCTTCTCACTCACTACTATTATTACGTGCCTGGGCATTAACATGGGCGTTTCTCTAGACTTGCATCCAGCTCTTAATTCCAACCATAAAAGGAAAGTTTGCCGGAATTCAAACACATATCTGCGGGGAGAACTTCTCGCAAAATGATGCGCTCACGAACAGGCTGGTAAGTACCACTAACAGCTTTACCCTCTAAAGATAAGTCAGTGATGTACCTTTTACCACCCTTTGCATTATCCCTCCACTAACTAATCTGGACGGTGACCGCTTTCCTAGCCTTACATGCCGAACACGCAAGTTGAAATGCGACGAACAGAAACCACGATGCTCACAATGCCGAAAGGCAGGCAGAGAATGCCGTCTTAGCGAAGCCGTTGTGTTTAGACATCAGCAAAATGCCTCAATGAACCAAGACGAAGGTGGAGTCGGGCCTAGTAGTCTGAAGGGGTTCTATTCTTACAAAAACACATTCGGCGCAGACAGTGTGTGGCTGGATATACCGAAGGAAGGTGTGTTGGTTTCCGGCATAAACTCAGCACTCATAAGCTCCTCGAACCGGCTGGCTAACTGGGTATATTCTCCGTGAAGTGGTATTTGTCGATAACTCAGACCCTTATGCCGATGACTTGGACGAACAGTTTAATACAGATACGCCACTAGACACTCATGGTGCGTCTACATGGAGTCACGACGGCGGTTACTCACTGCCATCTTCTACGGATGCGCAGACTCATGGCCTAGATGCGCTTTCAGCTGCTGCTACAGCGGAGAACCATCCTATCTACCAATCTGTTATGGATCATATTGCTGAGAACACCAGCAGCACTGTCAGGATCGGGAATGCTGAGAATCAAGAAGCAACGATATCAAGCTCATCTCCCACTGCTGCCAGGATTTCAATTGCATTTTCTCCGGGGTCTCCGGCGTTGCCACTGTCATCGCCTAATGTTAACATCAATTACGTTCTAAACTCATTATCCAACGGCATGCCACAGCCAATTGATCCTAGCCTTCACTCTCCTGAGAACCAAAGGTCCGGTTCTCTGGTTTCTCAAGGTTTAACACAGGAGGTGGTAGTTGCGTCTGCAGTCGAAGCTGAGCATGAGATTGCATTTTTCCTTCGAAGATTTTCAGAGGGGCCTGGACAGTGGTAAGCATCTTCAGTCACCATAATTGAATGTCTAGCATAGAGAAGCTAACTATACCCTTCAACCTATATTTAGGATGGATGTATTTGATAATGAACGCTACTTTAGCTCACAGGTCCCAGTCAAAGCCCTTTCCAACCCACTCCTGAAATATGCTGCATGTGCCTGCGCTGCAAAGCAGATTAGTCGTGTTCATGTAACCAACGCAATAACAGGAGGATCCTGCTTGAGGCAGGCTGTGATGAAGATATGGCCTAATATCGAGAGTGTTGGCTGGTGTGACTATGGGACGAGGTACTATGAAAAGGCAATCCAGTTGCTTATGGAGGAATTACAACAGGATGGACAATCGTCCCCGGTACCAGTGTCAGAAGCCTATGGACAACTGCAGGCAGAAGAAGCCAGTGGCCCGCAGAACACCACTAGCGAAGGGCGGAAGCACAGCCAACTGCCTAGGGCATATTCCGACGACACCCTTACGGCGACTGCCATTCTTTCAGCATACGAGCTTTTAGATGCTACCAGTTCGGCATCGGACAAACAATTGAATGATGTGAAAAATATACTAGATATTACGAAAGCTGGAATGGTGTCACCCGAAAGGCAAGATCCATCCGAAAACATGGACGTTACTGGCTTAACGCAACCCCGGTTTTCTAAAGCGAGGAAAGCAATCTTCTGGAACTTTGTGCGCCAGGACTATCTTTCAGCTTGTAAGTTTTCTCTTTAACTGATAAACGAGGGTGAAAAGCTAAATGAGCCATAGTTTTGGATGAAACCCGCCCCAGGCTGGACACCAGTGACCTAGCATTATGGACAGAAGCTGGGCTTCTTCTTGACAATGCAGGGTTTATTCAAAAATGCAGTGCTACTGGGCAAAACGAATATATGCGAGAGGGCATAATATCAAACACCTTGATATGGATCCTTTCAAAAATCGTTGATTTCTTAGCTCTGGATGATACTAATAACTGTGGAGAATCCTCTTCCTCCGGAGCATCACAAAACACCCCACTGGATAGATGGAATCGACTTCATACAGAGCTTGACGCATGGTATAAAGCGTTACCTGATACCTTCAAACCTTGCTCCAGAATCGATTCGCCGCCGGGGCCACATCCTTCTCCAGATGCATTTCCATTCCAAGAAATTTGGTACAGCATGCCAATGTGTGCCTCGACAATGCAACATTACCATATGGCCTGCATATTGCTACTTGTCAATAAGCCACACGAATCCACAGCGCGCAGGAGGAGCATTGTTACAGATAGATTGAACTTCTATCGGTCCATTGAAAAAGAGATCCAGAATCACAGCCGTGAAATCTGTGGGATATCTGCTGCTTGGCCCCCAGCATCTGCACGCATTCATTCTATTCAACCATTATTTGTCAGCGGCCAATGCTTGACCGACGAAGTAGAGCGGAGGGCCATTCTACGGATCCTTCGTAGAATCGAGGCCGATCTCGGTTGGGCCACTCAGTATCGTGTCCAGCAGCTCCTCAAGGAGTGGGATTGGGATGAGGCCGTCCTTGACTCTATCTCCGGGTGATGAAATTAAGGTCACAGGGAGGACAAAACGTTCGCGGATATACACGGTCTACCCCATGCTTATGCATGCAGCCAGCTATGCCTGCTAACGGCATGGATTTTAACCTCCCTGACGTCGTCTTTTAAAACGTTTGCATGGATGGATAAACGTTGATGATAAGATGGGCTGGATCTTAGTTGACTGATCGCCACAGAAGGCAGACTTGTCCGCGGAGCTAGCCATCCAAATATACAACACGTCATTCAAGCTCGCAGCTGATCACCAGAGCTTTGGAGAGCTTGAACCATTATAGTACTGATATAGCTACTACTACGAATTTTCAAATGTAGACACGCTTGACGTTCGAGAGAAGTGACAAGGGATTCTCGAGAGACGAAAACCTGATGCAAACGGCCGTAATCGGTTTAGTTAGCAAATCATCACCTCTTGAAAATTCCACGCGATGCAATCATGTTCAATCCCTGGAGGATTAAAGACAGGTCTGCATTTTGACGTTAAATAGCCATGCATCGTGCTATATCGCCCCCTTTGAGGTGTTTGGTAGGGAAAATAGACACGGCCTCACACCGACGATGCTATGGCCGTTTGAGGTTGAGCGCGCAGGCTGGGTCCTCTAATGCCTTTCCGGCCAGGAAGGGCTTTGCCTCCCTACCGGACGGAGAAGGTCAGTATTTCTACATACAATTCAGGCCATAGTATTGGCATTCTAGAGCTTACCAGTACTTACATCCTCCAGATTGGAACTCGAACGATGCATTTTTCACCTTCACGCGTGGCCGCTTTGTGGTAGATGAGGCTGAGAATTTTCGAAAACGAGAGATCAGGTTCGACTTAAATCAGCTGGCGAGAGTCGCAGCGGATGCAGTCGGTGCTGCTCACTGCGTTTCTGTCAGGAAATACCCAGATGGCATGTTCAACAAGGCCTTCCTGTTGACTATGAACAACGGTCGAGAAGTGGTAGCAAAGGTGCCTAATCCAAATGCCGGCATTCCACACTTTACAACGGCAAGTGAGGTTGCCACCATGGACTTTGTGAGTGCTTGATATTTAATATGATACATATCTATCATTTTTCATGCCTTGCTACTGTAGCACATGGTTGACTGGAATTGTCCAAGGCGAGAAAGGTACTTGATACACCAGCGCCTTTGGTCCATGCGTGGAATTCACAAGCCAAAACCCACCCTGTTGGGGCCGAGTTTATCATAATGGATAAGGTGGAGGGCGTTCCTTTGTCCCAAGTCTGGACTACTATGCAGCTACCTCAGAAACTCCAGGTGCTGCTTGCAGTGACGCGCATGCAGAAGCGATGGCTGAGTGTTTCGTTCTCACATTACGGGAGTTTGTACTACGCGAGCCACGTCCACCCACCAGCTGGTAGTCAGTATCTTAAGGATGGCAAGGCCGTGCTGGATTCAGAATTTACTCTTGGCCCAGCCACAGGACGAGGGTGGGTTGATGCAGGCCGGGCAACTTTGGATATCGATCGAGGCCCATGTAAGTTGGAACATGCCTCCCCGCGTGGCTCAGTTGCTAACGGTTTCTAGGGACTTCATTGACACAGTATCTGCAAGCGATCGGGAAGCGAGAAACACAAGCTATCCGGCTATTAAAAGCTCCAAAGCAGACCGCTTTATTCTGCGGTCCAGGGCTCTACCGGCCAAATCCGGAAACAAAGCTCACCGCCTTAACACACTACCAGCAAATCGTCGACACTCTTGTGCCAGATGTAGATACTATTAGGTCACCATACCTCTGGCATAATGATTTGCATGATGATAACATCTTTGTCGACGCTTCCAACCCGGAAAAGATCACGGGTATAATCGATTGGCAGTCCTGCCATATTTCGCCTCTCTACAGCCAAAATCCCGACCCTGCCTTTCTTAACTGGGATGGCCTTGAACCAGAGACACTCGATCTTCTTCCAAGGCCAAAACTCTCTGGACTTTTTCCCGAGGAACGTGCTGCAGCTCTTCACGAATACGCTTACAACAACGTATTCATCAGTTGGAGGAAACTCATGCAAGCCAAGAATCCAAAGCTATACCAGGCTGTTGAGTTTCGAAAGACAGCGGCGTACGGATTAATCTTTCTTGCACAAAGGATGTTTGAATATGGCGAGGCGCACTTTGAATCACTTCTAGCCGACCTAAAGGATACTTGGGCCGAGCTACCTGTCGTATCTAGCAACCGCCCGTTTCCATTTACTTTCTCGGCAGAAGAGTACGAGCGTATCAAAATTGACAGTGATAACGCGGTAGCAGGGACAGAGCTTGTTGCGGAGGTCAAGGAGAAGCTAGGTGATTTGTGGCCAGATAAAGGGTTCATTGAGCATGAACGATTTGATGAGTGTAAAGCTGCTCTTGAAGATGTCAAGAGTCAAATCTTGGAGCAATTGGCTCAAAGTGAGGAAGAAAGGGCCGAGTTAGAACATTATTGGCCATTCAAATAAAGCACTGGCAACTTGATTTGCTTCGAATTAGACATCAGAGTGACGTCCGAGGGTATCTTCGCAATATAGACATAAAGAATTAGTTAATATTGATCGCCCTGAACTTCCCTTTAAGCTTAATTAAGAGGGAAAGTCTGCCGAGTGTGGGGAAAGCTTTGACCTCCCCCATGAAAGAAAGTGAGCCGAGAAGTTTCGCTGCTTGGCCAGTCGGCACACCTTCCCATCCGGCGCTCCAGCCTAGCCCCTGCTTACGTTGCTGCCGGAATGCGTAGGTGGTCGCGTGGTACACACAGTACGGGCTTTGGCGAAGGTTGCGAGATGCACGCTGCACGATGCTGGTTCCCTGGCAGGATTCCTTAGTTTTACCGCTGACGGCGGCGGTTGGAGCGGCAGGATGATTATTGGGACGGTAGTTACGACGGTACGCGGCAGCCATCGCCAGCTATTTAATGTGCCCATGTTCTCCCTCTCGCTGTCTGTCTGGTCAGACAGGTTTCGACACCATAGATAACTCTCGACAAGGAGAAGTTCTTTCTAATATCTCAATCATCGCCATCCAATCCGAATAAAAATGTCTCTCGATACAGATGTTCTGATCATCGGTGCTGGAATGTCCGGTATCGGATTTGCCATTCAGCTGCAGAAGGACTTTCCCCAGGCTAGTTACGAGATAATTGAGAAATCGAATGGCTTGGGAGGAACATGGTGGGCCAATACCTATCCCGGCTGCGGATGTGATGTTAGTCCCTGAATATTCAAGATAATAATAATGAGTTATCTAGAGCATGTTTCTTTGTGTTTATTGGCTAAACTATTCACTAGGTCCCATCTCATGTGTACTCATACTCATTTGACCTCAATCCAGACTGGAGTATGAAGTATGCTCTACAGCCGGAGATCCTAACTTATTTTAAGTCGGTTGTCGAAAAGCACCGCCTTGCACCGTATATCAGATACAACTCGGTGGTTCAAAGTGCTGCGTTTGAAGAGAAAACGGGGACATGGCAGGTTAAAGTAAAAGACCTCAGTACACAAATCACCAGGCATCGGCGGTGTAAGATATTGATATCTGCAGTTGGTGCTTTGTCTATTCCAAAGGAGTGTGATATCAAAGGGTCTGATAACTTCCGCGGGAAGCTGTTTCACTCTGCACAATGGGACCATCAATTCAACTGGGCGGATAAGGATGTCGTCGTCATCGGTAAGAAACGTCGTCTTTCCCATGTCCAGCTACTCAGCACGTAGTTAAACTAACTCCTTTGTATAGGCAATGGCTGTAGCGCTACACAGTTCGTGCCAATCATGACTGGTGGTGACAATAAGGTCCGGAAACTCACTCAGTTTATTCGTCAGCCACACTGGGTGATTGAACGCCCAAATAACCAGTATAGTTCTCTCTTCAAATGGACAATGCGCTATATCCCATTAGCAATGTGGGTATATCGAGTATGGCACTTTAGCTGGCTTGAGTATTCATTTCGTGAATTCTACCTCGAATACGGTCGCCCCCTTCGTGAAGACCAAACCATCACTCACCTCCAATATTTAAAGCGAACAGCTCCACCAAAATACCATGATGTCCTAACGCCAAAGATCGAATTTGGCTGTAAACGCAAGGTTATGGATACTGGGTATTTTGACTGTTTGCACCGGGAAAATATGGAGTTGATTGCCACAGACCCCATTGAAGAAATAACAGAAGTAGGTGTAGTAACAAAGTCCGGGAAGTCTATCAATGCAGATGCCATCGTTCTTGCAACGGGGTTTCAGACGCAACAAGTCCTTTACCCTTTGGAAATCAGGGGTAAGAAAGGTATCTCGCTGACAGAACATGTAAGACGCCATTTCACCTCTTTCAGCTTCATGCATAAGCAACCATGCTCACTCGATGGAATCAAAATAGTGGGAAGATTTTTCAGACAGCACTCCACAGGCCTATTATGGCACCTGTGTATCAGGGTTCCCCAACTTCTTTATCATGATGGGTCCAAACACTGCAACAGGTCACCTGTCGGTGATATACACTTCTGAATGCCAAATAAACTTCGCGATCCGTGCGATTCGGCCCGTTATGCAATCCCTTTACCCGTCCCCACTCCAAGCCCTTAATCCATTTGGAGGCAAGTCATACGATACCGTTGCAGTCACTCCGAGAGCAGAACAGGAGGATAATTCGTGGGTTCAATCTGCTCTTAAAGGGTTCGTGTGGGCATCCGGTTGCAGTAATTGGTATGTTAATGAAGAGACTGGGAAAAACACAATGCTCTATCCAGATTGGCAGTTGAAGTACTGGTTGCGCAGTATATTTATACCATTCAAGTCCGATTTCGAGTTCAGCTCCAGCGAGGTACAGGTAATAGGTAAAAATAACGGACAAAAGGGCAAGCCATTCCAAACATCTATGCTGGTTGGGTCGGGCTTGGGTCTAGCGCTCGTTGCTACATTCGCAGCCGGGATACAGTATGACACGAAAGTCAGGGATCTAGGATTCAAGGGAAGTCACCATCTAGCTGCTTTTCTGAAAGACCTGATAACGCAGCTTATCTCGTCCAAGGAATAATAATGTACATATTTTGCTCATTGACAGTCGAAGTGAAGAATCCTATCTCCGTGACCTGGATGCTCGTGTCTTCCGTTTCTTCGGAGCAGACTCAGAAATGTTAGCATTATCTTTAGGGCCTGAATCTTCACCTTCAGATAGCTCTCTTTTGACAGAGATTCGAGTGGTAACCCGAATGCCATCTTCTTCCACCTCCTGCTTTACTTGGTCTACCTCTACTTTTGACTCGACTTTAAGAGCCCCGGTAGACTGGTCGTGGGTTTCAGCTTTGGGGTTTAATCGGTCCGAAAAGGACCTGAGGTTGGCTGTAAATAGAACACTCTGTGCCCAACCAGCTTCTTTGCCCCATAACTCTCTAAAATGGTCACCAACAGCGTCGTATGTTGCTTTGTTTAGCGTCTTCTGCTTCCCCTTTCCGAATTTATAGTCACGCTGAGCAATCTGCCAAACTATTTCGATGATGACAAATATAGTGAGTACTCCATGAACATACCGTTAGGGTTAGTATTGTGACTTACCATGTGTATCAACAGGAACTGACTCTCCCCAACCAAGGCCCATCAGACAAACACAATCTGCGACCTTCGGACCAACGCCCTGTAGAGCCAGCAGTTGTTCATGAGCCTCTCGGTAACCAGATTCCTCGCCCCTGGGTACTCCTCCTGGTGTAGCCGGCTCCTCGTTGAAGGCGGGCTTTTCTGGGTTCCGTAAGCTGTTCAACCACCCCGGCTCCCGTTCGTTTGCAACTATCTTTGCAGTCTGATAGATATATTTGGCTCTATATCCAAACCCAAGCTCTCGGAGATGTGATTCGACGCCAGTACCAGTCAAGGCTGAAGGATCTGGGAAATCATAATATTTCTGATCGCCCAATTGGCCAATGAACGGGCCGTAGTTGACACATAGCTTTTCCACCTATCCAATCGAGATTTAGAGCCCGAGGTTGTCAAATAGGAAACAAAGAAAAAGCGCTTACCATCTGCGATATTCGCGCTATGTTGTTGTTGCTGCTGCAGATGAAAGAAACAAGGGTTTCCCAAGCATCCTGTCTCATGATCCGAATACCAGCAAACTTCACTGCTTTCTTTTTGAAGTTTGGATCCGAAGCTGCCCATTGCTCGTATAAATCCGATAGGTTATACTCCAGATTGAAATAATGGTGAATCAATGCCTCGGTGTCGTCGTCATCCGGCGTTCCACGTTGCGTTGCTGCAGTAGAGATCGGTGGCGTAGGAAGTGTAGATGATTCAACAGGCGGAGGCTTATATGATCTGTACCAAAGTGAATCCGATTCCTGTTTTAAGGATAGAACGCGTCCGTAGAGTGAACATGTCCATTCATCGTCCAGCTTTCGCCAGCTGCAGCGCCGTTAGCTAGTATTCAGGAACCGGGCACACATCCTGGGAATGGTTTCTTACCGAAAGCTTTGTCCGCACCGAAGAGTAGTATCGATGCACAGCTCCGTCAGGGTCAGCGGCAGCTTGCGCCACTCCGAGAATCTGCCAATTGACATGTTTATATGTTGATGTTGTTCTTTTCTCCTGTCTTCGTCTCGTCGCGTCGTCAACTTTGAACTTTCCCAGATAGCGATAAGCTTATTATATAAGCTTGTGCCAAGGCTGCTTTCCCAATCTGGCTTAAGCTGGGCATCGAGAACTTCTGGCCTGGATAACATTTCAGCCAAAACTTCTGCAAACCCGCAACAGACGGAGTATCAGCTATTGACTGCGGCATCCTCTCCTTCTTGTATCCTAGCCGGGGTGGAATTGTGTAGCGCGCGTGTTCTGGAGCTTTATTTTGCTTAGCGCCGGACAAATTCCATTGCAGCCAGCTCTCCATAAACTTGTCTTTAATCAGCTAACAGGATGAACGGCGAAGGTTATAGTGGAAGAGGTAAGCTTATTCTACGACATGGTATTGATCTAACTTTGCATATATTGATAACTGACGCTTCGATATTCAGAGAGCGGCCGCTCAAGGGATTATTATGTGAGTTTATGACCCATCTATACTCCTAACAAACGAATACCCAGTTTCTGATAGTTGCCTGCTTTTTAGGGAGGCCGATCCGGTAGAGATGACCGTCGAGATCGTGGTGAGAGGCGTGAGAGAGGTGAGAGAGGTGAGAGAGGTGATAGAGGTGATAGAGGTGATAGGGAACGGAGAAGGTCGAGATCACCTCACCATGGCTCCAGAGCATCGCGTCGAGAAGGGGAGATGGATTCCTACTCCTCCAGCCGCGACTACCGAGCTAGAGAACGAGAAGATAGATATCAAAGTCGGCGAGACGATAGGGGTGATTGGGATAGGGATAGAGGAAGTGACAGGAGGCGTGAGCGGCGAGGTGACGATGAGGACCGGTCTCGACGCGACCGGGACCTGTTTGATGATAAGTCCCGTGGCGGTCGCGGAAGAGATAGGAAACGGAGTGCAACACCGCCCCCCAAGAAACGAGAGCCTACGCCTGATCTGACCGATGTCGTTCCAATCCTAGAACGAAAACGTCGTTTGACTCAATGGGATATCAAACCTCCAGGGTATGAAAATGTTACAGCCGAGCAAGCAAAAGTGTCGGGAATGTTCCCACTGCCGGGTGCGCCGCGTCAACAAGCGGTTGACCCAAGCCGATTGCAGGCTTTTATGAACCCTCCTGCTGCTTCGGGATCAAACACCAACACTCTTCTCAAACCTTCCAATTCCCGACAGTCAAAGCGGCTTTTTACGCATAACATCCCACCATCCGTGACCGAAGATACCCTACAACAGTTCTTCAATCTGCAACTCAATGGACTAAATGTTATCAGCGGAGTTGACCCTTGCCAATCTGTGCAGATCTCCAAAGACGGGAAATTTGCACTCCTTGAGTTTAACACTGCGGCGGACGCAACGGTTGCCTTAGCTTTCGATGGAATCACCATGGAAGAGCATGAAGCTAACAGAGAAAACAATGGAGAATCGAATGGAGAGGTTAAGGGTTTGTCGATAATACGGCCGAAAGACTACATTGTCCCTCTACCAACGGATGAGGAGCCGCATCAAGAGGGCGTTGTATCGAGCAACGTACCTGACTCACCCAATAAGATCTGTGTATCAAATATCCCTCCATTCATCCAAGAGGACCAAGTTACCATGCTTTTGGTTTCGTTTGGTGAACTCAAATCCTTTGTGCTTGTCAAAGACGTTGGAACTGACGAGTCAAGAGTGCGTGTTTATTCCTTCTTCAAGCTGCTAGGAATACATACTAACTATATTCACTAGGGAATTGCATTCTGCGAGTACCTTGATCCAGCATCGACTGGAATTGCGGTTGAAGGACTCAACGGTATGGAACTCGGGGATAGGAGGCTCAAAGTTAATCGCGCAAGCATTGGCACTGTACAAGCCGCTGGCCTTGATATGGGTGTCAATGCAATGTCTATGTTTGCAAAGACCACATCACAGGACCTTGAGACCGGACGAGTGCTCCAGCTGCTGAACATGGTTACTGCTGACGAATTAATCGATAATGAAGATTATGAGGGTATGGTTTGCCGGTTTTTCCTTTCTCGACTACTGCTCCCACTAACAACTATATTTTTTTTCCATTAGAAATTTGCGAAGATGTCCAGGAGGAATGCTCTAAATACGGAGTTGTTGAAGAACTGAAAATCCCTCGTCCTTCCGCCGGTAGCAGGCAAGCGGCCGGTGTAGGAAAGATATATATCAAGTTTGACACACCCGAGTCTGCTACCAAAGCTCTTCAAGCTCTTGCTGGCCGAAAATTCCAGGATCGAACCGTCGTGACTACCTACTTCTCAGAGGTAAGCCATTCTAATCCAGTACCCTGCCTGTTTCATCTACCGTACTAACCATTATTACAGGAGAACTTCGAAGTCAATGCCTGGTAGCCTTTGCCGACTTGATTTCCCTTGCAGATCCGATCTGTATCGCTTGGGGTGATTCCTACCGCCATTTTCTATCAAAATGGTATGAAACAGCAGGCCGCATTGCGTTTCTTTGGCTTTTCCCTACTACCTACCCTGCGTTATACGGTATTTTTCTGTTTTTGAAGGAGGCTATTCTCGAGACAAGTCCAGTGTACAATATTGAAGCGCTGTAAAATCTTACTTGCTTTTCCAAAGACATCTTTTTATGCTAAATCATTTTAATTAACCCTAGACATGGATGGCCCTAACAATCTAAAACGTCACGGCGCATGGCCGTTATTATAGTTACTTGAGTTGGATGGTATTGATATGGATTGCGACAGAGGAGCGCAAGAGGTTTGTGGATAGAAGAGACGTACATAGACAGCTCCTTTTTCATAACGTCCAGTATCAGCTGCAGGCTAGAACTGTCTATGATCTCATAACTACATGCCTCACCTTTCGAAAGATTGAAGTTAGCCTGCCTGCTCGGTGGTATCACAGCCAAACTTCTTCTCAGCCATCATAGCAGATCGTTAGCTAGCACAGCCAAAGGGGTGTATTTCAAAGCCATGCAATCTGTTTCCTTTAAACGGAAATTCGATAACGGTCTTCATCAGCTGCAGAGAGTCACATAACAATAGGTATTCAACAGAATCCCTCTACGGTGTGACTGCACGGCTGCTCAACGCTATGCGCAGAAACGATCACAAGTCACATATATTAAACCTCTAGATGAGCGGCCCTTTATTCCGAAGGGCACGGCCCGGCACAAATTGCAACTGTCTGTGGACATCAGATCTTGCTGGTGCGACAGGAGATGCGTCTCGATGTCCGCTCACGCCTATCAGTCGATGGCAAAGGTAGCAACAAGTACCCTTGTGACGGCTGATGCTACATCCCAAGATGTAACGAGCTATATCTCCGTGAGAATCAGACACACCGAATATTCTTCCAACTAGTTAACCTAGGCGTGCTTGGAATCACCGCTTGGACCAGATAAAAAAACTTGCTGAGGCCGAGATCCAAATATCATAGTTAAGCCAACGGCTGGGCCATGTCACGGTAACTCTACCCAAATACTAAACCGCATCCCGCCGGCTATAGTTACGGCAGTGTATACCCAGGGGAAACCGTGGAGCAAAGCACCTACCTCGTTATTATCTCACCGCGTTGCAGCACCTGCATGTGGTCCGCGGCCAACAGACGCTTTTGGTGCCCAACACGAGCCGTAAACCGTACCCCAAGTGGGCTAACGCAACAGGTACCGGAGCAAAGGGTACCCTGGGATAGGTTCAGTCGGGTATTTTCCTTTTTGCTAGTTATTTTGACTTCCTATCCACATGGGCAGAAGATCCATCACGGCTGTGAGTATCCATCCATGGGCTTGGTCCTCGGCAAATACAGTTACGGTGGGTGCGGCGATGACATATAACTACATCATGAGCTTCATGTGCACACGCCCCAACACGGGATGGCAAATGCCATCGGTACGACGGGGACCGTCAGCGAAAACCGGGTTCGTGTGTAACTCGGCTGCGCATTATGTGGTGGGAGCAGTCTTCCGTTTAGCTACTTGAGAGAGAAGCCATGACGGGGTATCGTCAGTCGAGTTACGCAGCACCTCAGCATTAACTCCATAATAACTTCTAGGTAAAGGACAGAATGGATACTCTGGGCGGGTACCAGTGTCCGAGCACCACGGAGGCGGGAGAGACGAAGAGATGAAGCGAGGCCCTGAGTGGGCTTCCTTCCCCGTGTATACCTACGTACCTAGTTTGCCGCTCCGTAGATGAAAAGTTTTCAGGCAAGCCGCTTTGAGTAACCAAACGGGCCTGTTTCCAAGTGAAGCATATCTAGACGCTGCATGATGGCGCCCAGGCGACTGACTCCATATGGTACAAGACGGGCGCTGGGCGGGCTACAAGGCAATATGGGGATGTCTACGGGGTCAAGCGGGAGGGTGCGGGTAAGAAAACCCAGCATGAGAGCGAATTGCGCAGCAAAGATGGCGAGCGTGCCTGAGGAAGTAAGAGAAGCGGAAGGATTTTGTGACTATGTAGTTATTGATAACTGGTAAAGTAGGTAGCCCTGTAGTTATCTATGAATGCCAACGGCATGACAATACGCACCTATATACGTACATGCAATGAACAGAACTAGCACAAAAATTCTAGATGACCAGGCCTATCCCGTCCGTTCCAGCACCTGATAAACACCCAGGATGATATGTATGTATATAAGAGAGAAAAAGAGAGAGAGAGACGGATATGGGGAGTAATAAGGGGGGTAAAGGGTCTCGGTGGTAGAGTATTAAAACGAGGTATCGGATTTCAACACGGCCATGAAGGAGAGGATGAAAGGGACACATTGCGTATGTGTATGTATGAGTAGTCGGTTGTAGATGGGATCAAATATATGAAAACTAGAAAAGGAAATTAAAGAGCTAGAGTGATGCCTCCGGTCGACATGTTGTCATGATAGCGTTATCCCCCGGACACCTGGAGCCGGTAGGGAGCGTTAGATAAGTAAGGAAAGAAACAGCTGATTTTGCCTTGGGCAAGTGTATGATATGCGGAATGTGTGTAACCAGCCTCCCGATGGCCGCGGCGAAAGGACTGTGAGGGAGTGAATGGAACGGATTAGAAAGCGTTGTGCGGTGTGTAATAGTATACAGTGCTCGATGGGAGTCGTTGTGCTCCCATACTGCATCAACCAGGATACGCGGGACCCGACCCCCCTACTGCAGCCACGTATATGCGTGTGGTGAAAATATAATGCATAGCGGGTTGAGTGGAGGGAGAGAGAATAAGAGTGTGTGGTATAAATGGTGTCATCTTGCTATGCTGGCAAGCGGGAGGGGATGGATGGTGTTTCCCCCTCCTTCCACAGGGCCAGGGATGAGATACCACCACATGGGAGGGATGTATGATGCCTTCCCGTCTCATATCTCGGTCGAGTGACGGCTTCTGGTTGAAGTGTAGTGCTGTTGAAAGACTTGTTATTTTGTGTTCCGGACAAAAGTCTTTTCAGGCTAGTTATACGTTGCGGTCAGAATAACGGCCGTCAGGATAGTAAGGATAGCCTCGAGATCGTGTAGAAGCACTGGGGGCAAAAGTCGATTGCGGATCCCAGTCTCGCACAGCCGGTTCGGTTCGGGATGCGCTTGGTGGGCGAGGCCTGGAGAAACTCATGGCAGGGTTTGGGTACTTGATTTCGTCCCGGATACAGTCCTCGCTTTCCTTTGCTCCCGAAACTTTGAATGTAGTCATAGATAGGTCTGACTGGCGGGACTTGGAGAGTAGAGGGTCGGGCGACTTGGTGTTATTGTATCGAGAGGAAGAGCCAAGCATCGCATAGTCCTTGTTTGGAGTTATCCCTCGAGGCGGAAACTCTTGTGGCTGTCTGAATTTGCCTCTCACGAAATGCACCCAGCCGGTAATTATGGACAGACGGCCCAGAAGGAGGACTGACCAAAAGCCGCAGAAGGGCAGCAGGATCAGAACGGTAAACACTAGGCCTTCGGAAGGGCCGCCCAAGTTGTGTTCCTCTAAACACTTCCCCACGTCTCCGTTTGTCAGGGCAATACAGACGAGCCACGGGTAAGCTCGGCTAATGTTATCTGGTGTTTTGTCCACGGCACGATCGAGGTCCAGGAAGACGAGGGTGAAGAAGACGGCATATGTCATGACGACCAGGACGACGGCGATTCCTCTCCACTGCATCTTAACCACATGCTTGACACGCTTGAAGGTCTGGCGGTAGGTGAGGGTCGTTACGCTGCCGGTATACGACGGGAATGCAGAACTCGTGTCCGTGGGGGGCTTTTCTTCAAACACTGATCGAACATATACCTGCATACAGTAAAGCAAGGTGATGAGGTGGATGAGCAGGGATGCACCGGAAATGGCCAAGATAGGCCCCCAGAAATCAGCCAGACTATGGTCATGGTTAATATGGCAGACGTTTCCGAACCTGTAAGAAACGCCTGTTAGAACTAGGCCGATTGTGATGCCCATGGGTGGTATGGCCCAGCCGAGGGCCAGAGTGCCTAGAAAGAAGCGCTGTCCAAGCACAAGGTTCCAGCATATCTGTAAATGAAGCGACAATGTTCGGAAAAAACCTTGACGCGTCAGTTAGTAAGATGCTTGATATCAGGTAATGGCTGTCTGGACGTACTCCACGTTATACTTGTCCAGGCACCGAATAGGACAAAGGCGCCAGACCATGAGCAGGACAGCTCTGAGAACATGTCATTTGGAGTAATTCCATTGTAGCATTGTTGTGGTTTCGATGCTAGGGGAACAATAAAGGCCATCTATGACACTGTTAGGGTATTCGTTTGCAAAAGGGAAAAAAAAGGAAACTATATGTTCAGACATACTTGAAAAGACATTATCCCTAATATTAGGCAGACATTTAGGTAGTGACGATGCGTCACTTTGACCGGTAATACGGCGTAGGACACTAACAGCAACGCATTGGCGATGAAGGCCGCAACAGCAAGCCAGTTGGTTACTTCTGTCTTTTTTAGGAAGCCTAGCATGTTGTATATCCTGTAAGTAATTATTCTACTGCCGCGCCTTATTAAAAAAGGACAAGTAGAAGCATTTGTCTGTGCATACCTGGGGAGTATTTCCAATCACCGACTGGACATGGTAGACAGCAGGACACCGTTGTGTATTGACTGGTGCAGAACCGGCCCTCGATATCTGACAAGGACAGTTAGATATGAACTTACTTTTCCTAAAAAAAGATGGTATATGTATATCAATTGGTGAGAGTAAGACTTACAGCCTCCCCGTGGAGGGAACAAGTTCTCCTGAAGGAATGGCGACGGACATAGCCCTTGGTAAGGGTTCTTCTTTGGATGTAAGATTGCTGCCATATTGATATCGTGGCGGCGGCGGCGGCAGCAGCAGCAGAGCAGGAGAATGGAAGACTCTTCGTAGCCAAAAGGTAGGGATAAGGTAGATGCGAATCCAGCGTATCCAACGTATCCTCCTCTTTCTACTCAAGCACCATACACAAAGCCCTTCGGATTCATCGATGGGACAAGTAGACCGTAGATTCGCCCATGAAAGCTGCTGCGTGACTGCAGGCCTTTCTTAAAACCCTGCGTGGAACCGTATATATAGATAGATATTTAACCGAGGGAAGGGGGGGCGTTTGAGAGTTGCGCCGCAGAAAGAGGGACCGACGGGTGGTATAAGTAAGTATAGCTAAGCTTCAGATAGAATAGAACAATGGGCACAAAAAGCATGCAAGAGTCGAAACGAGGGACGGCTAGGGGTTTGTTTAATGTTCCGCAGCTGCAGCAGGTTCGATATAAGTTTATAGTCCACGAACTAGACGATTAAGGTGTGAACGTGGCAAGGAGGGGCGGTTAGTATCAAGATCGGGAGGGAGTGTGAGAAGTAGAAGAAGGAGAAGTAGTAGAAGAAGAAAAAGAAAGAGTAAAAAGAAAGATCTGGTCGACAGACGGGCGGGCAGGGAGGCTGTTTTGTATAAAAGGGAAAAAATTGGGAATGGCCGGGCGAGGGCATGTAAGTACCTAAGTACGGTATATGTAAAAAAGCATGGAAAGCAAAACCTGGGGAAAGAAGACGACGCAGGCGAGGTCGAGGCCACACGATATGGATATGAATGAATGGAGTAAGGAAAAAATAAAAAATAAAAAGGACCCTCTCTCCGTACTAGCTAGGCCAAAGGCAAAAATCTCTAACCATTCATCCGTTGGGATCCAAGATCAGACGCAGGACGCAGATAGAGTGTGATATAAAATGGATCGCAGCCGGTGCCGCTAAGAATAGGACTTCTGGCTTCCTCCCTTTCCACACAAGAGGCAGAGAGAGGGAAATAGGGAGAGATAGTCCCGTAAAGAAGTGAGAGATGGGCGGGTTCGGCACTTTGTCCCAGCACCAAATAGCATGCATGCGTTTGCCCTGTAAGTTAGTTCAGAGTGGGACAGCTTAGCAGAGGCTGTAAGTATAAGTCATGCAATTGAACGATCGTCCCAGCAAGAGAGAGGAAAAAGCAAGGAAGAAGAAGAAGCAGAAGAAGAAAAGAAACGAAAGGAAAAAGAAAGCAGTAGAAAAGAAGAAAAGAAAAGAGCCCGATCCATCCACTCTCTTTTGTCCTGCGGGTAAGGATTATAGTAAAACTATGGGCCTTATAATTTACAACATCTCCGGTCAATGTGGATGCGGAGCGTTGGCTTCGAGATGGGCTCTTCTTGTTCTGGCTCTGGCTCTGCCCTCAATCTCTCTCCGGCTGTTTCTTTTCAGGGGTAGTTCACTAAAGTGAATGGCCACGGTAACAGACGACGGCAGGGGGGGAAGGAGATGTGGTCCCTTGATAATATATAATAAGTACGGGCTCCCTTGCAACCGTCAGGCCTAGACAGATTGGACGGGACGGGTAAGGTAAGGGAGAGGGAGAGAGATAGAGTAGGTAGAGACGAGAAGGGGGAAGGGGGTGGTCCTTCTTCTGTGACGAGGATCCGGGTGGACAGAAGGCAAAGGCGAATAAAAGGCTGAAGAAGTCCCGCCAGGCCACCGTCCGAGCCGGGAGCACAGCCATAAAGACGAGGAACAGGAAGAAGACGTCTTCCCTTCGTCTCTTCCGTCTCGTCTCGTCTCGTTCGGCCTACCACAGGGCACAAGACGAGGGTTGACGGCTCCAGCTGTCCAACCTATCACGGCCGGCAAGTGCCCTCCACCCCTCGCGGCCCAGGATGCAGGAGGCCATGCGGATCATGAGAAGCAAAATAAAAACGGGACCAGGAACAGGCTCGGCGAGTGGATGCGCGGGCGACCTTGAGGCACTTGGGACGCTGTCCACTGGCTGGCGCTGGTAGCTGGCGCGGGCGCAGTTGCTCTTGATGTTGATGTTGGGAGCCTATAACTAGCAGATACGGAGCACTCCCTGGCTCGCTGGCTAGCTGAACAGATGGATCCTCCTTTTGTCGCGACTTGGGACGCCCGAACCATGGATTCAACGGCGACGGCGACGGCCAGGTGCCTTCTGGGTCGGAGAGACATGCCACACGCCACCTGCTGGCTGGCCTAGCGTGCTGCTGGCTGGCTGCCTAACGGCCGTGGATGGAGCCGACGGTCAACTTTCGTCTGTCCATCTCTTGTCTGTCTCCAGCAGTGGAGCGACTTACGACTGGCAGAGGCATAGGTCCGCCGTGGCCATCGTATCAGCGTCGCTAACTAGTTTATACTTATGTACTGGGTCTTGACATCAGCTCTCGGTGAAGACGAAGAGGAAGACAGAGAAAAGGGGCGATGCGGCTCTGAAACCAACCAGAAACCAACAGGCAAGTAAGCTCCCAACGGTATTATCAGGTAGATTAAACAGGCTACTCTGTCTGTTACCAGCAAGTCAAGACAGGCAAGTATAATAATAATAATACGAGCAGCGAGCGATCGCGAGGACTGGACTTGACCCAGTTGGGAGATTCTCCGGCGTGTCATCCACGGCTAAGCAAGAGGCTAAGATCGTGATACGCCCTTGTTCCTTGCACCAATAACGCCGTCTCTGCCAGGATGGCCGTCCTTGACCAAGCAGCTACTTATGTAGAAGTATTAGTATTACCCGGAGCATGGGCTGGCTTGCTGCCATGCTGTATGTCTGACTGGGCAGGCGTCGGGTCCAGAAGCCACTGCCTGCTTGTCGATATTCATCGTCATCTTCTTCATCCATCGCTTCCTCTACATGGCTTCGCTTCTTCTTCGCCTCCATCGTTTGGCAGAGGAGCGCCGACCCTGGCCCCTGGACGGTCCCGCCTGGAGAAAGACTTCTGACCGGGCTAATTATAGGGCTGTTATATATATATTATTATTATGGATTACTGCTACTATACACTGATCGACGGCTGTTCCCCTTCTCCCGCCTTATCGATCCAGAGCAACGACCACGGACGAACAAACGAACTAACTGACTAGCTGACGCAGGAGAGAGGAGAAAAGGGAACCCGTTTCTCCGTATATACTCCGTAAATTTATATATATTTATATATAGGGTTACCTTGCCGGAAACGAGACCCTCCTGCTCTCCTCCCTCGCCCAACGACAATTTCATATCTAGTCGTGTCCAGGGATGTCTCTCTTTATTTCTTTTCCCGACGGCTGTTTCCCGGCATACATTGCGTACATGAGGCATGACGGTTGCTTCTAGAAGGCCGCTAGTCTCGCCTGCTGGAGCGCGTCGCCGTTTGAATCAAAAGTCAGGGGGCGGGTAGTTATACTTGTGTGTACGTACTTGTGTAGTTATACACTCCGCGACTTAGCTACTTACTACTTATGGTCTCTAGTTACGCGCAGAGAGAGTCAAGTGAGCCCGCTAACTTCTTAACCAGCTAACTCGTTCCCTTAAGAATCGCCACGCCGCAAGCCAAAAAGCACAGAGCAGCATCGACAGCTCACAGCCCACATCGGCCGTGACTCGGGTGCCGATCGATGCATTGCATCACTTCTCTAACTAACTAGCTAGTGTGGCGGCGCTTGCTGGTGGTGCTGGTGCTGCCATGGGCTACATGAACCATGGAACCAGGGTTGGACTATCTCCCTTCCTGCCATGTGTCTCTTTGCCTGGAGGAACGCAGGTTCCATGGTCACTAACTAGTTGACCAGCAAGTCCGTTTCTGCGTGACCTTCCTAACCATGGAACTGCCCAAGCTAACAAGCGGGTGAAACCCTTTTTATTCAGAGGAACGCCAGACAAGACAGACGCCGTTTACTCTGCCCTTTTCTTCAGGTAGTACGGAGTAAACGGAGTACTCCGCACTGTATAGAACTACCAAATACGGCAGTGGGATGTCTCTGGCTTTAGGGCTTGAAGAAGGGGGGGAGGGGGTGACCATTTTGTCTTTCCACAAATCCGCCATATCAACAAGATCTTGACGGGGAGAAAAGGAAGCAGAGAGCATTGCCACACTGCAAGAGGAAAAGAGAAAGAGGCGAAGAAGTGAAAAAAGGAAGAAGAAAGAAAAAGGGCTGTTGGATGGGTTTGGAATGTGTAACGACAGCCTTGAAAAGAAGCCACAAAGCCAACGAACTAACTAAAGCACCAACTTTCCACGTTGCTGGAGAAGAAGCAAAGAAGACTATTTAGTCCAAAGCTGTAAGTATGTAAGTATTAGTTATCTTTCTTTTACGCTTTCAAGACAATGTTGTTACTTTCGTGAAATGTTGGGTTGGCTCGTCCTTAGAGACTGCAGGGAGGAGCCCGGTAACTAAAGTACGCATCAACACATCATCTATAACGACACTCTGCTCTGTTCTAGCGGATCTCCTGCTCTATAGGGAAGTGCATGGCGGCTCCTATATGCACATCTTATCCTTCTGTGCAGGCCGCGTGTGTAGTGGATGGATTGTCTGTCCGGAGTATAGTATATAAAGTACGAGGAGTGGCCTTGCTTCTTGCTATAGCCATGGATCCCCGTTAAGGGACCGCCTCCTGATGCGACATGGACAGGGGACAGGCATCGTCGCTGGTCGGAACTTACCATGTCAGCGGTCGAGGACGACACGAAGACAAGATAGAAAGACGAAGAAGACAGAAAGAAGACTCTCGTCTCGTCTCACATAAGGCGCGATTCGCTGTTCCTACAACGAACCACGAACTAATCCTTCCATCTGGCAGGGATGTAGTTACGGAATATGTATCCATAGATGTAAGTACTCCATAGTGAAGTAGCTGTTGCTGTAGGCGAGGAGGAAGGAGGAGATACTCTCTGACTCGCTTAATGCACAGTGAGTACTCCGTATATTGGCTCGTTTCTGCCTGCCTGGCTAAGATTAAGATATATTAGTTACTGTTTTGTTTGGTTTCCCTTTCCTGCATGATGTAGCAGATCGGATGGCGTGTTGATGCCGCAGATAGATTGCAGGTACGGAGTACACACACAGGCCTGCTCCAGCCCAGCCATGGCTTTGCAGACATCCGTCCGTCGTCGTCTTCTTCTTCTTGTCTCTTCTTATCTCTTCTTCGTCTTCATCTTCGTATGAGAGCATAACTTGCATCATCGGCCGCCGGGATCAACGCGGCCAATGAAACACGCGACTTTCTCGATTTTGTTGACGAGCAGAGCCATTGGCTCCTTATGCCCGAAGACCAAAACCTACACATAAAATTCTCCAGCCTTCACTTTGTCCTTGTTCACGTCCATTATCCCGTTGCGGTTGCGGTTGCTGTTGGCCAGTGGCCAGTGGCCCAGCTCCCTTTTCTTTTCTCTCGAGGACGGGACGGGACGAGACTGTGCTCATGCCAGTAGTTAACTATCTACCCAGATAACTAACCGCCGAAGTAGTTATTTATCATCGAGATCAAGGTGCGATGGCCACTCAGGGCCGCCATGCAAGGGCTTGATGCCGATGGACTTCGCCTCCGATGACTTGGCTCTTGCGAATTGGCTGCTCCGCGATCCTCACAGCGTACATACACTTACTTTCTTACTGTTAGTTATCCGTCCAGCTCGCCCTCCATGCACGGCGTTGCCTGCCAAGCGGCGCTGCGCTGGAGCAAGGGCTCGTCAGAAGCTGACTGGCCATCCCATCCCACCCGATCCCTGGAGAAACGGGGAAGGGGAAGGACTTGCTCAAGAAGGCGGAGTGTGCGTATGTGCGTATGTGCTGATGATGTTGGTGACGGTCCAGCCATGCAGGACCTCGAGCGGTGAACTCGTGGATATCTACCATGATTCGTTGGACATCCCCGTTTGCTTGTCAATCAATCACTCACCCATCCATCTATCCATCCATCCTGCTCGCCCGGCCAGGACCTGGAAAGACAGCTGACATACCCATATCCATACCCATATCCTGTTCCCTTGGCTACATACGGAGTACGGACGCACATTCCTGGATATCAACTGCAGACGTCATCCCGGGGAGTGTCAGGAAGCTCGTTTAAATAACGCAACCGAACTCTCTCCCCTCCCATCTACATATCCCCTGGGACCTGCCTGTGCTTCCTTCCTTCCCTTGCGTGCTTGATGGCCTGTCTGCTTGCTCGCAGCTGACAAGGGCTATTGGATGCATGGAGTAGGGATCCTGAAAAGCGAAAGCGAAGCCAGCCAGCCTAGGAGCTCCGAGAAGGGGGTTCGCCCGTCCTTTGCTAGGCCAGGCCTGGAAAGGCCGACATCTCCCGGCACAATGGTCAAAGAGTTTGTTGCTGTTCTGGGGGTGGAGGGCGTGTTTTGATCATGATGATGGATCGATGGATACACATATACGAAGGTTGAACTGAACTGGGCCAGGATGATAGACAAGAATCATGACCGATCTCCAGTTTTCTTGACATCGATGAGGATGAAAAAGTAATATGTTTGGGATGGAATAGTCCAGAGATCCAGACACTCTCGCACAGGCATATTTCATGCTTGATATCGAACCAACATTGCAGGGTTGGGTTGAACTGGAGGTCTGAGCCGCCTCTCTCATCTCGCTGGGGCTGAAAGGCGCGCTGGATCGAACGACTCTTGCAATGGGGCAAATTTCCGAGGTGAGACAGAATATGGAGCTACTGGCTCAACTGGTAAATAAATGCACTGATTGTTTCTCGTGTTGAGTAACTAGTGATGCGTTCTAGAAGGCATAGATATATAGAGCAAAGACAACCCATCTTCTAACTTAAGTCTTAGGTATATTCCACTCTTGTGAAAGTCCACACACAACAAACCACTAGTGGTTTGATCCCTCCAGCCGGGGATCCCCAACTCACTTTCATTTCTAGTGTTATAAAACAACCATAATAAAAATACTGCAGGCGAAAGCGAAGAAGGACCTTGACAGATGGACCTTGGCCAGCAGCTCGGACCTTCCAGTAAGTATGGTACGCTTGCCTATATGCCTGATAATTATGCCCAAGCAGAGGCTAGAGAGAGATTAAGGCTCGGTTGCCGTCCTGCAGCTTTATTGCTTGATTGCTTGTTGTTTGATCGTCAAGAAGCCGACGTCATGCATACATATTCCAGGTACATACGTTAGGTACTCATGTCTCTCTTGGAAATATCTACCTAGATAAGTAGTAGAAAAACCTGAGAATGGAAGCGGGCTGGGGGCGAATGGATGGACGGAAGAACTTTTAAGGTCGAACGGAAAGTTGAGACAGCAAGGCGGGTTCCTGGTATCCGGCGTAGCTGAAAGTTCATTTGCTATCTATCTGTCTATCCACAAGCTATCGACACACCAGAGCCTACCTTTTTCAAAAATACCCATAGCTACCGAAAGATGGGGTAAGAAGGTATCAAAAAGATATCCAGTCTACCGATGTCTAATATATGGGCCAGCGTGCATTGTCACACAACCATAGCAAGGAAAACTGACCACCTTCCAAAGATATGAGCATCGGCATGTCACATCACGTCAGGTATACCCGTATGCCCATGATCGTCGTCATCACCATCACCCTCATCATCATCACATCATCAAACATTTTAACAAAATAAACCGACGAAAGGAGTCTCCGTGGTGTACGGGAGTGTGCATCTTATCAATCTTGGACTGATAGCAGCAGAACTAAGCCTAAGCAATAAGTGCTTCGTTAGCCAACGCGTACCGACAGGCAAATTGATATGCAAACATCGAGGTCGGTTATGAGGAATCAGAAGTCCATTAAGATCATTGAAGCTGGACCAGAAGAGGCCCAGTTCCTGACATAAGAGGTACCAGAAAAAAAGTAAAGTGAGGTATCATCATGAAGATATGCGTTGTCGTGAGGAAGTTTTCAGTGCAGCTTAAAGAAACGGACGTACCTTTTTTACAATGGCGGTTAGCTCGACCTCAAGTCAAATCATAACGTCTTCCCACACATGTCCATCACGTCTCTTCCCTCTCCATAGCTCGCAAGGAGCGGAATAAGACGGTCTTGCGGCGTTGAAGACCGACTTGAAGATGAAAAGTCGAAGAAAATTCGGTTGTGGAAGGAAAAAGATGAAAAAGACGAAAAAGATTGAAAGAAAAAAAGAAAAAGAAAAAAAAAAAAAAAAACTGCCCAATGAACTATCACGTGACTGATCGACCGGGCTGCAGCGAGCGAAAGCTTGCTTGACTCTGAGTTGGAAACACCCATGGATCCTTCAATATTGCGACCAGGAGAGTAATTCGTTGTTCGATTCGAGTCCGGTGATCTGTGATACCCCAGATAGATGACGATGATGCCATCCGGCCCGGCCACTAGTTGCAGGGCTCGCGAACTATGTAGCTAACGAGTTACTCGGTCGATATCATGATACATGAGTGCGGCCAGCAGAACTACTTAAAACACCGCAGGTTTCCCAGGAAATGAGATGTCCGTTCCCCCCCTCTCTCTCCAGGAAGTCTCTGAGCTGCTGCAGTCGTGATCTGGTCATCCGCTGCGTGCGTGCGAGCGAGCGAAAGAAAGGAAGAAAGGAAGAAAAAAACAACACACAAAAAAACCCGTTATCATCATCATGGCATTAAACAGTTTTTTTAACCTGTTTAGGCGTGGCGTAGAGCCCGCCGAGTCCAGCCAGGCCGCTTATGAACCAAACAAGGGGAAGCTCCAAAGCCGTATGCTCGACGTTATCCAGCGAACCTTTGACCTTGGGTTCACCTCGTTTGGCGGCCCGCCAGTGCATTTTAGAACTCTCCACAGGCGATTCGTGTCGGATGCTGGCAGAAGAGTACCATGGGTAGATGAACAAACGGTGTGGACCTATCACATCTCACTTCAACTTCAACTTCCGTCTGTAGACCTCATTGAAACTAACTTGGGATGGCGTGGTGTTGTAGTATCAAGAGCTCTTTGCGATAAGTCAAGCTCTCCCTGGGCCTGGGAGCACAAAGATGCTCTTCTGCATAACGATGATACATGCAGGCTTTCTCCCTGCGGTTGTGGCGTTTTTCCTATGGACGTTAGTTCTCCTCCCTTTTTCCTAGTTTGAGCCACCTTACGTTTTCTTTATATGTGTATGCAGAAGGATATTTATTGATATGTTTGGGTATCTTATAGCCTTCCCTGGTGCTATTGGAATGTTCGGTCTCGCTCTTGGGGTTGCAAAGCTAGACCAGAACCTTCCGACTATAGTGTATGCTTTTCTCTCTGGGCTGAACGCTTCAACAGTTGGCATCATCGCCCTCGCTGCAGTGCAGGTAAGCTCGCATCATGGCTGAAAGAAAGGGAGGAAAAGGAGACTCAAAAGGCTAACTGGTCTGCAGCTGGCGGAGAAGTCTATTCAAGATAAAGTAACCAGAATACTGGTTATATTTGGTGGATCGGCTGGCCTGTGCTACCAAGCCATATGGTATTTCCCGATCCTTATATTGATCGGTGGTTGCACGACCGCAGTATGGGATCTGATCGCTCAACCATCTATCACAAAGTTGAAAGATAAACTTCGTCAAAGACGCTCAAGTCCCACCAGTGATGCTGAGGCGGGCATTGATCATGTGGGGGTCCGATTGAACCATCCTCATCAGTCCTTAGCACTCCAGCGCCGCCGTGTTCTAGCCGGAAGAGGGCAAGAGTCCCAGGTTGACCTTCCCCAACTTCGACGGTCAGATAGCTCAACCATAATACCTGATAGTCCAAGCACCCTCGTGGGCTCTGAGTCCAACCAACCGATGGACACTCAATCTCACTCCCTGCATATGAAATGGGGCATCCTGATAATTGTCCTCTTCCTTGGTTCGTGCTCAAAGCTGTCCTTCTCCTCTGGAATGTCATGAACTAAAGAACGAGTTATTATATAGCAAGTTTCATTGCCATACTGGTCGTGCGCCAAGGCATGAAGAAACCCGCGCTCGAACTCGACCTTTTTTCCAACATGTATCTTGCCGGAACAGTGATATTTGGTGGTGGTCCGGTCGTTATCCCTTTGCTTCGTGAGTATGTTGTCGGACCTGGCTGGGTTTCTCCACGAGACTTCCTCATCGGCTTAGCACTTATACAGGCCTTCCCTGGGCCAAACTTCAACTTTGCCATATACCTAGGTGGGCTGGCAGTAGCCTCAGTGCATTCTCCCACTATTATGGGCTCTGTCATGTCTTTCGTTGCAATTTATGTTCCTGGCTTAGCTTTGGCTGTGGGGTTCCAAAGCTGCTGGAGTGTCCTGCGGAAGTATCCACTAACAACAAGTTGCCTCAGGGGAATGAACTCCGCTGCAGTTGGTCTGGTATTCACTGCTGTATATCGCCTCTGGGAGATCGGCTATCTGAGTGCTAATGCATCACAGGGTCAGAGTCTGGGAATGGAGCCCTTTTGGGTGGTCGTGGCGGCTATAACCTATGCTGAGAATGCTTGGTTTAGAGTGCCCCCAGCCATTGCCATTGCTAGTGGAGGCATATTGGGTCTCTGCTGGTATGCAGTCGTACAGCGAAATAGTTGACATGTTCCTTTGATACACATCATACTATAGCTTTCTCCTGACTCTCTTTCTTCGCTGTGTTGTTAGACATTTTATGCTGTTAATAGTATAAACCTTCCAAAGCCTTATTGATCACGTAAAAAATTAGTTAAGCGTAAAATAAATACGTACAATACTGGTATTTTTACCACTTAAAATACAATCTAAGCGACATTTGTCCACGTGATCACACATCGGCGCACCATTAGATTTTATCGACAAAAAAACATCTTGAATTTTTGCGACTTGACGAACTTCTCGACATCGACACATCTCATCCGCAAACTTTCGCTCTTCACCAGCACCTCCAACACCGTCAATATGGGTCGTCTTCACAGCAAGGGCAAGGGCATTTCTGCCTCTGCCATCCCTTACTCTCGCACCGCCCCCGCCTGGGTGAAGACCACTCCGGATCAGGTTGTCGACCACATCTGCAAGATGGCCAAGAAGGGTGCTACCCCATCTCAGATTGGTGTTGTCCTCCGTGATAGCCACGGTATTGCCCAGGTTAAGGTTGTTACTGGTATGTGAATGCTTGGAGCTGGGACTTGCGATCCGTCGAAAATCCGTTTTGCGCCAGCGACACCTTGAAGCTAACTTATTTTATCTATAGGAAACAAGATCCTCCGTATCCTCAAGTCCAACGGTACGAATTTACATATAATCCTTCCATGTGGGAGGTGATTTGATTGTTTAGAGAAGCGCTTCAACTTGAGATATCGTTGAACATTCTCTAAGCTCAATCACCTCGTACTACTATAATGATTGAACCTTTTGGCGCTCCTCTGGAGCCATGTTCTTTCGACATTGCCTCTGCTTGGTCATGATCGGCTGACAGAGTGATTTTGTAAACTTGTATAGGCCTCGCCCCTGAAATCCCAGAGGACCTTTACATGTTGATCAGAAAGGTAATTTATCATCTTCTCCTTGAAGTATATACTTGGCTATGTAAAGCTAACAACTCTCTTCTTTCTAGGCCGTTGCTGTCCGCAAGCACCTTGAGCGTAACCGCAAGGACAAGGACAGCAAGTTCCGTCTTATTCTGATTGAGTCCCGTATCCACCGTCTATCCCGCTACTACAAGTCCGTTGGTGTCCTCCCACCAACCTGGAGATACGAGAGTGCCACTGCCAGCACCATGGTCGCGTAAGCGATTTCAATCACATTCACGACTTCAATGGACCAAATACAAATATGGATGTAAAAAACACAATCAAAATGGGCGTGGGTATGTACCAGGAACATAGCTTTTCCAATCAAGCTATCTGGCAGAAATGCTTGGAGTTTGCATGGAGCTAAACAGTTCTTTCTACCATGGCGGGAACTGAGCGTTAGATTATTTATTCTCATATTTAATTGAGTTCTTCCTGGCTGGCTTTCTCTTGTATGTGCTACTAGCAATTTACGAATAATGAACAAGGTCTCTTATACCATTACCATAATAGGCCAAGGTGAAGTCAACCCTGTAGAATGTAATAAAGGTGAGCATATATCCAAAACTATATTCAATATTATATACGCCTAACCTCACGTGCCACTGCGTTGCAGAGCTCAACTTTGACGCCTGCCCCTGTAAGAACATGGATCCAAAGTCGTTGCGTATCGCTTAAACGATCACTTTCTGACTTGACCTCTGAAAACATAACCTCATTAGTATCCATACGCCAGAGAAAAAGGTCCGGAATACCTCCACCTCGTTGCTGGTATTCTTGCGCCATCACCTGGCATATAGTTGCCAATGCTTCACCTCTAAAGCATTGAGCAATCTCAAGGAGATCACCGAGCTCAAAGGACCAGTCAATACCGATAGCACAAGTCTGCCTTGGTGATTCACGGGCATGGACTTCTTTAATGATCCTTTGAGCTTCTCCATTTGATATCTCAGCCAACCTGGAATTGATCTCAGATATTCGAGATGGGTAAAAGGAATCTGTATGTAAATCCAAGGGGCATGTCTGGAAGGGAGTCTGGAAGACGTTAGGGACATAAGTAAATATAATATCATAGAATAGGTATCCAAACTAAAAAATGGTCAGCAAACAGCGAACATGGAGCAGTGGCTTTTTAATTCAACTTACAAGTGTTCGAAGGATGCCGCTTTCGCAGTGGAAGCCTTTCCATCCATTATCCCTATACCAGCTCAGGCACATGTTTTCAACCCGACATTCGCCTCCTCCTTCCCGTTCGTCAACCCAGACAGTTGGACGTCCCTTGTTTTTTGAGTTACTGCTTCCTGGGGATTTTCCATTTGGCTGCTTTCCTGGTAGTTCTTTTTCAATCCGGATCCCATGCACCATTCGTTCTTCAGGTTTTGCAAGCATGACATGGGAAAAATCATGTTGCTCCCTCCATGCTATTTTCAGGGATCTTTCTAGTTTAGTAATCCGTTTCTGTAGGCCGTAGTGAAAAATGATATGACATTCTGGATCTTGAAGTCCATCTTCGCAAGTACGGAGAGCCTGTTGTCTCCAATCCCTCTTTCGAGCGTCTTCAGGACGGGTATCAGTGACATCAAGAGACCACATATAATGCTCTTCAAGGAGTGCCTTGCGCTGATACCAAGTTCCACGCCTCGCAGAGTGAAAGAGACGCTGACCCAGTAGTTCCTTTAATGTCTTGTGCTCTTGTTTATAATCTTTAAGCCGTCCGAGAGACCACAGCCCTTTATGTATGATCCTGGTGTACACCCATGCAGGGGAAAAGCGACGAAGATACGCGCCTTCTCCATAATCATATAATCGTTCTTCTTTGGATTGTTCTTCCAGTAGCAATATCCTCCACCTGGGATAGACAGCTTCCGCCATTTTCTTAACAGCTTGTATCTTCTCATCAATTGCCGTGTTGCTGGATTCTATCTCCTTGTCCAGATCGAACTGGATACGAAGGGCAGTTTCAAATTCAAGCAAATCGGATCGAGATGGAAATATGGAATTCGAGCGACTGACAATATAATCTGGATAATTTTTCTTGGATATCTTTGCCAGGATTATAGCAGTAAGGGAATTTTCTGACCATTGCGTCGAACGGTAGAATAGCAGGTGAACGCGTTCAAAAAGTTTCAACGTGCCATTTGCAAGTCGTATGCAGTCACCAGTACGGCCAAAGATCTTCTCTCGGAATAAGGCAGCTCTTATACTAGTTTCACCGTTGCTGAGAGATGATACCATTGATGCAGCCTTACCGTCAATACCTTCTTCTGCATCAGTTGAGGAAAGCCAGCTTAGCCCTGTTTGAGCAGTGCTTGCTTCGCATAAACCATTGATCAAATCTTTCTTGTTCTTTCCTGCAACCTTCAGGTCCTTTGCTAAAGATTTCAATTCGTCAAGAAGAAGTAGGGAAGAAGCTTCTTCGATTGACTGTATCTCTTTCATATCATCTGCAAATCGAAACTCATTACCACTTGTAGCCACAGGAGACATGCTTAGCCCTCCAATATTAGGTGTCTGGTCATCGGTTGATGTAGGTAGCTTTCTCATCTTTCTAAGATCGGTGACTGCCCTTGGCAAATCGGCAATATCTTGATAATAACCCAGCTTATTGACACGATGCCAAGCGGATGTTTTGCGTAGAAAGAGTCGAACGTAACTAGGCATTGCTTGTTAACGGGAAGTTCGCCGCGCGCAGCAATAAAATTTAAAACGATAAAAAACCAAAAGGTATAAAAACGAACAGATATTGAGACTCATAAGGGAGCCCTTTCCAGTAATCAAACACAGCTTTCTCTGCTTCATTAAAGAGATGGCTTTCATCCTCTAGGACGCTGCCGAGGGCGTAGTTGAAAGCGTCGACATAAATAGAGCTCTCTCCTTTGACCCATCCTCTTTGATTGAACCGCTGCTGCGTCTCTCCTACTCGGGATTCGCCTCCCAATGAAGCTTTCCACTGCTCATATTCCTCAACGGCATCTTCCCCTGACTTCAAGGAGGGGAGAGACTCCTCCAAACCAGCTTCCTGGTCAAAGGGCACAGCATCTTGCCCAGGTTCATCAGTCGATACGCCTGAGCCCTCTTCCATCACCGTGGATCCATATATATCAGGGGTATCCCTCTCAGCAGTCGAACCCGATCGTTTGCTAGACGAAGAGTCGTCCGGACTCGAGTAGGTACGTCTTCGCTTAGGTTGCGAAGGTCGTGGTCCTGCTGTCATCGTCAAAACGGGAGAAAGTCTCAAAACGAATGCAATTTGAGTAGGTCCTGCATCCTCGGGTTCTCAGTCAACAAAACCCGCATTCCATATCCCAAACGCCCGCCGAGGCTGTAAAATAGGTAGCTCTCGAAGTCGCTTTTCAAGTTCATCGTAGACAACGCGTCGGCAACACGAGGTCACATGACACATCTGGAACCACTTTAGCCTTTTTTATGTCTGTTTGTTGTGTTTGCATCCAAAGCTCCGTCTCGTCCAAAGCGTCGCAAAACGACCGACTTGAAGCAGGAGATATAAATTGATATCCAGGACTACGAGCTGAGGGAAGTGAGAAGAAGTCTGCCTGATTGTGGCAGCCAATTGGCCCGATATATAATTTTGGATGGTTATGGGACCTTAGATAGCACTAGTTCTTCATGGCCGATGCCCCATCACAGCTGCCAGCAGGCAACCCGCTTCCTTCTGGCGCCGGATTCCAGAATGCGGAAAGACAGAACAATGGAGAAACACCGCAGGACAGGCCTGCTGTCATGCAGGATAACACTGTATGTGATGAGATGTCATGAGTAATACCCGCTAGTTTGGACCATGACCTTATAAAGTTCCTTTGCACAACACAGAAGATATACCCTCTTCAGATACATTCCATCACACCGTACGCTCTTTACGCAAGGAAACTGACTTGTTACGGATTTTACCTCAGCCTCTAGAACCGAACTCCACCACTAAGTTGGGTACCAGTGTCCCTCCTGCACCGGCCACAGCTTCAACCAACTCTCGCGGCGTCACACCATCTGTGGACAACGAGTCTTCTGCCAATAAACACCACGATAACCGAGACGTCATCATGAGCGGTGGCTATGAAACAAGAGGCACTTATCGGGGAAATGGTGCTACTGGCACGGGCGCCGCAAATGCTACTCCGCAATCCCAGGCTACGGGTGCGCCGGCACGGATATACATGAACGAAAAGATCGTCCCATATCTCCTTGAAGGGATGAAGATGGTGGCCAAAGACCAGTGAGTTTTTCACTCTTACATTCATCGCGTTTCCTTTTGTTGCTAATACGATGCTTTGTCAAAATTTAGACCTACGAACCCGCTGCAGGTGCTAGGGGAATATCTTCTACAGAAGAGTAGCGAAATTGGAGAGACTGCTGGAGAACAGTCGGCTGCCTGATATGGACATTTCTCTGATCGAAAATAAAGAAATTTACAAGATATACAGCACCGTGCTGGATAGATACCCATGCTCTACAGATTTCTTCAAAGAGTCTGTCTCGGGCTTTTACGGTGAGCTGCAATGTATGTAGCAAGAGCGATAAGAACCGGATCGCAATCAATTGAAATGTGGCATACTGCTGCAGCATCCCCAAACTGTAAAACTCTTCATATGCTATGACTGATATAGCAAGTCAACACCTAAAGTAATTGAGTACTCCGTAACTCAACTCTAGATATGGATGAACTAGTAATACTGAGCTGCTAGAAATTCCTTGTACGGTTAGTTGGTAGATGATTCTATGCTTCTCCTATGCATTTGTGTGAGATTGGTTTCTGTTGCAACAGATGAACGCTACAAACTCAACGTCAGTATGGAAATACAATAAAGGAGCACTTACCAGGATATGTTACAGTTGTGTCTTCTCATGTGGAGGATCGGTATATGTGGTGTTGTCAAAGGCAAAGTAAATGAAGACGACGACCCAGGTAGTAGTAATCTATCATCACAGTAGAGGGACAAGGATATGGGAAATCCTTTCCCTCCCACCATGTAACCAGCATTAGGGAATGGGGACTCCAGAGAGACGAGGACGTGATATCGGCTCTCAGGAAATATGTTTCGACTACGAGTATCGGCAAAGAGCGAGAGAGACGAATAGCTCCGGGGTTCCCAGTTGGAGGATTGTGTTGCGTTGTAGAAATTTGAGAATTGTTTTGATAGTGTTTTCTTTGATCTTTGAAAGCGTGAGGCCACTCCGGGCCAAAAGTGTGTAGGAGTCGTTACCCTCAATTTGTGTTTTGTGTGAAGAGATGCAATACGGCGAAACAAGCTGACTACCGATAAAGGGGAGGGCCAACAGGGAAGGGATGATGCGGAAGATTTTGCTGCCCACAAGAGAGAAAGCCGAAGGTATTACAACGTTTAGATATCCTGTGTTCCGCCGCCATGCTTCGTGAAATTTAGCGATAAGTAAAGAAACAGCTGGGTTAAAGCGGACGGATGACGTGCCAAACAGACGTTCGGCCTCAGACGTAAGCCGCGAGCCAGCCATTCGAAATTTTGTCGAAGCCATGCAAGAAGTGTTGGGAGCGAAAGGTGATGTGTAACAAACATAGAAGCGCCGCCGTTACCGATTAAGTACCGATCCCAGCTGAAGATGCCGACAAGAAACCATGTGTGGAATACAGTAGTAGAATCAGAGGATGACAACCAGAGAAGGAAAATATAAGCAAAGATGAAAACGGGGTGGGAACCGAGATCCAGGAAATCAAGCCTAGTGAAGAGGTCGGGCAGGGCTTGAAATGAACCAAAACTCAGATGCCGTTGTTGTCGTTGGTGGCCTGCATGAAATACCTACCTAGCGGGAGCCGGTTCTATCGTCCCAACGGTTATCGTAAGCTCGACTGCCAGAAGGCTCATATGACTCACGATGGGAAGGGGCGTCTGCATAACCCCCAGAAGCAGACTGAGCGCGAGCATCATCTCGGTCATAGTATCCACCACCTCGACGGTCTCCTCGACGGTCCCCACGGTCACGGTCACGATCACCTCCTCTGTCGCCGCGGTCACCACGGTCTCCGTACCTATCATCACGGCCGGATGTGGCGTAGCGGTCGACACCTCTGTGACCATAGTCATCACGATAATCGCGGCGACTACCACGGTCACTGTAGGAATCGTAGCGAGAGCTGCGGTAGCCATCGTCGTAACGGCGTCCATGGCCACCATACCCACCGCGACGATCGTCATAGCGGTCATAACGACCGCCGCGACTGTTTCCACGAAGTTCTGGTATTCATTTTAGCGACTTTCTTTGTTAATTTTTGTGTTGCAAAAGTGAAACCATACCGCGCTTAGGAGGCCCAAAGTATTTTCCGGGGGTAGGAGTCCTAGGACGGCTACGACGAGCCTTTTCAATGCTCAAAGTACGTCCATCGATCACTTCGCCCTGTAGACCCTCTCTGGCCGCTTCTGCCTGGTCAGGAGTAACCATGTTCACAAACCCGAATCCACGCGACTCCTTGGTGTGAGGATCAAGCATAATAGAGCAGTTTTCCACCTCACCATATTTCTCAAAGAGACGGGTCACGTCTGCTTCACTCAGGCGAGGATGGATCCCGGTTACAAACAAGTTGGTACCTGTATTCTGAGCTCCTTCTTCATCGTCTGCGTTTTTCACCCGTGTATCTGCTCCTTCGGCACTATTCAAAGTTAGGCCCCATTCTTTATCTTTTTCTTTTCTTTCATCGTTTTCTTTTTCACTGCTGGCTCATCAGATGGTAGCTTAACAAGATGGCTTTCTTACCGATCAGTTCGGCCGTTGGGAGAAGCGCTGCGGTTCCGGGTAGCGCGATTAGCATCCTGGGGTGACGCGCTACGTCGGCGGTATTGCGGATCTTTTTGGTCACAATCAAACAACGGGTTAATGCTTCAGTTTGCGTATAAATATAGAGTGCTTGCTAGCGTTACCTTCGAACCGATCGTTCTCGTTTTCATATTCCATGTCGGCCATGGTTGGTTGATAATCCAGTTAGAAAAGCGGCTCTGAGGGAGTTGCCACTGAATCTTCCGTCCAGTTCGCCGGGTGCAAGGGACCTAGAAACGTGAGAGCAAAAGGAATAACAAGTGCGAGCTGCAACACTAAGTAAAGAAAATGAGAGAGAAAGGCGCGAGACGAGAGGTTGACGGTCGAGGAGGTTGGCCTTTTGATGTCTGGAGAAGAGCAAAAAGCTGGTGAAAGCTTCTGGGCTGAAAGACGATCCTTTTAGCTGTCGCCCGATTTGGACTAGCGCGTTCTGAGCTTGGCTTCCCGCAACTCTTTTTCGTCGTCAATATAAAAAGCGGGAGACACAGGGTGAGACAGAAGTGATGACGAGAACAAAGAAAAGCATGGTAACGTGGATATCCTGGTTTCATTTCATTATTATATATTATCGTTCTAGTGAGAGAAAATGTAGAAGGTATAGAAGAAGGTGTAATACATAGGGTAAAGGCTCTAGAGAGCGACAAAAGGTAAAAAAAAAATACAAAAGGTAGGACGGATCTATCTAAATCCTCGCCATCGCTTTCGGGATTTTTGCGATTTGGGCCTGGAGGGCTCTTCTTCTAGGGCCGTAGTAGGTTCAACGCCTTGTCCAGTGGGCTCGGCCGGCACTTTCTCGACGCCATCATCGTCTCCGGCTAAGTCACGGAGTTCCTCGTCGCCTATGTCACTAAGTTCCTCGCTCATGCCACGAACCAGCTCTCTGCCAGTCCACCGTTCCTCGTGGATGGTGGTGCCAATGGGGTCAAAGGGTTGCATGTACCACTGAATACCACCTTGGGCTAACGGCAGGAGCTGCTGGCCTTCCGAAAAGCTGGCGGGTGGTGTGGGAGGCGTGGCTTCGTCTCGCGGAATCTGAGGTTGAAGGATCGCTTCTTCCCCCGTATTCTCCACAGGCGCTTGAGATGGTTCACTCTCGTTGGAGCCACTGCCGGACTGTTGCTTCTCTGACTGTGGAATCACCATTTCAGTGCTGTCCTCCTGAAATACTGATACTGGAGCATCCGTCATTTCTGTGTCTTGATCTTCACCGCCCCCAAGATCCCCATTTGTTTCCGGGGTCCGCTTCTCGTTGTTGGCCGACTCTGTTAGCTTTTCATTAACCTCACTTTTAGATTCAGGAGTCAAGTTAAGGCTAGTTTCCTGCATTTCGGGCTCGGTTTCGTTTGGTAACGGCTGCGTTGCCATGGCGGTAAGTAAAGCAGAATTGACTGCTTCTCCAGTTGAGGTGTTGATAGAACCTCTACGAGAACCAACACTGTTTTCAAAGATGAGGTCGAGGCCCTTGAGTTCATTCTCATAAGGCTTTCCGTTAAGCTCGCTTTCCTTCTTCAATGCATCCTCCAATAATGGTTGCACAGCTTTGATTATTCGCTTCGCAAGTTTCCGCTTCTCTCGTTGCTCATGGCTGAGTTCAGGAGCACGACCGCTGATCTGCATCTGTAGCTCTGCCGTATCTCCAACAGAGGCAACTCCAATCCCTGAAGTGAAAACCTGTGCCAAGTCCCGAGAAAATTCGGAAACAGAAGTATAGTACCGTTCTTCTAGCTTTGACCGAATTGCCTGGAAGCCAACGAAGAACACACCCTTTCCATCCAATCTGTGAGTGGGGAAAGCAGTCAGTAGATGCAAAATTAAGGATGGCGAGGGCGCGAACTTACGCATGAGCTTTCTCAAATACCGGCCACAGCATTGGGGGTATAGGGAAGTAAACTATATCAATAATACTCTGAAGGGTTTCTGCATCCTTGAGTTTTTCCTTCTCACGCTTCTTCACCTCACCACATAGCATTCGAACCTTGTCAACGTCCTGGTATAATCTTTCCGCAAAGTCTATTCGACGCTCCAGGCGGACAGATCCTGCACGGCCCATTCCAGAGAAATTCCTCCTAGTCATTTCCATAGATGAAAAGGTTTCGAGTTGAAGTTGCAATCGTTTCAATAATGCAGCACCTCGCCTAGCTTCTCGTTTAAGAGTCCAATACTTGCACGCGTCCTCGGCGTATTGTTTCCTTTGACGTACTGTGAAACGGGCCAAGGATGCGACAACATTGTCAAGCACAACTTGTGGGATAACGGGAGCTCCAGAGGGCAGCTTCCAAATTGTTCTTGGGCTGGGGTTGGCACGTTTTCGCTTATTGTTACTACCAACAGTTAACGTTAGTCGAGGCGTTATAGGCCTCCCATCGCACTCGTTGGGGTCCGTGCTTTCTTGAGTTTCCGGTCCCATGGCAAGAGCTGCAGCTTGGCTATCCCCCCATTTTTTCCCTTGCATGGCTGTACGGTAGTATTCCAAGGCTTGAGCTGTAGCGGAAGAGGTATTGTGATCTGCCTGCCAGTCTGGTGGAACGTGCTTATCACAGTAGGCTTTAAGTTCATTTGAGTCCTTAATGGCAGGAGCGCCTGGAGTCATTTTCATTCTCAAATATAGATGAGCCCGCCTTCCACAGGTGGGATGGAAGGCTACAAAGCAATTCTTGTTACTGCACTGTATGCAAGCGCCCATCTTCTGACGGCAGATGTAACAAGTAAGTTTCCAACGGCTTCTCGGCACCTTTTCAATTTCAATCACCGGCTCCATTAGCGACGGGTTACCTATGGAGACTTCAGGAATCCAAACTGCACAGAGAAGATGCGACCATTTAGCAGTATTTGTTTGTTTGAATGCACCTTCGGTGTTGGGGCAGAAGATACATGATGGTGATCCTCTGCCAATGAGTTGGCATTTCCGGCAAAGCCACTGGCCTTCGGGAATATAGGGCACTCCATAACATTCCTGATGAACAGCCAGGTCACAGCCATCGCAAAAGACGATGGCGTTGGCATTCTCGCAGTCACCATCGTCGCATACAGCACACTTGCTATCTTGTTCCTCTCCCGAGCCGGTATGTTCACCATTTACTGCCACTGCAGAACTGGAACGCGGCCGTTGTGTTTGGGGTGGTTTTGGGTTAGGTTTGGGTATTCGTCGTTCTAGAGCATGCCATTCTTTCTCTATTTTGGTCATGGTAATTTCAAATATTGCGGGTTTGATCGGCTCGAATTCCTCAACTTTTCGTTGCATGTTATATTCTTCTAGCCATCTGGCATCCTGCTCGTCCATATCATACTCCACCCTACCCACGTCTGCGTTTGGGAGAGGTGGGCCAGCTTCCCCCTCGGTGGATTGAGGCGGCTCTAGATCAAGATCGCCGTCCGTTGCGCCTTCAGATAGCCGAATCATTCGTCTCTCATGTCGAAGGAAAATATCACTCTCCTGGTATCCTACACTCGCCATAGTACGGTCAACATAATTTTGCTGTCCAACTCCCTTCTGCTCAAACGGTAAAAACGGGTCTTTAACAACCCAAGATGGCTTTGGTAGCGTGAGTTTTTCTCGCGGATTCGACGTTGCTAGCAGTACTCCTTTAGATTGCTCCGAGATATCATCCACTCTTTTCGGTTTATCAAGACGACGCTTTGACGGGGATAGACTTGGTCCTCGGCACCCATTTGGCGTACTGCTAGTATCTCCATTAGCCCCAAATCCATTCCCGTTTGCTCCATTTGAGGGCGAATTCTCATCGTTTGTCAGTCCGTCTACTTCTTTCGAACTGAACACAGCGATCTGGGCATCAATATCAAGATCAGGGTGAAATTCCTCCCAACCGCGCTCCTCACGAGGCATGTATCCTTCACTCTGAGTTACCGCCAATACTGCTGCCGCGGCAGAGCTATATCTCCGGGCCTGGGTTCTCGGTCGATTCGAACGTGAGGACGTGGGAGTTGCGGGGTGAAGGCGTGAGGAGTCGCGGGCAGGTCGAGTCCGTGGAGTGCTAGTTTTATTTCGCATCTGCGACGACGCTCGAGGTGGCGGGTCTATATCATCCACCTCGATATACCGCCCGCCTCCTCCGGGGCCTCCAGGGACATATTTTAGCTTCTTTCGTGGTGGTTCTCCAGGAACTTGCACCACCGGATTTCTAACCCCCTTCTGCGCTGTTTTGGGTCGTGGTTTAGGTGCCCGGGCTGCGGACGCCTTCCGCTGCATATTGGCAGTAGACGAGGCCATCTCTTTGCTTCTGTCCCACCCTGTCTGTCGTGATATCTCTTTTGAATCAGGAGGCGGAGAAGAGCTGGTTCACTTCTTGAAGAGCGTGGCGTAGTGCTTGTTTCGTGTCTCTGTGCTTCAAATAGTTGCTCTCGTCATCTGAGTTGCTTCACTGCGGCCTAACGTGCAGTATCACGATCCATCCGTGCTGCCAAAAGCAACCAACTCCATGCAAAAAAACCCCCCTCCCAACAGAGCAGTGTTGTCTTCAAAGGTCGTCGAAAGGTCGGCTGTCGTCAAACGCCGTCACCAAGAGGTCGTCGCGGCTTTTTTGCCCTTCTTTCCTTTTTTGGGTTGGAGTAGACGCGCACTAGCCAATTTAGGTAAGGCTCATGCCAAGCTTTTGGCCGCCGAAAACAAGCGCGACTTTTCCCGATGCGGAAACATAAAAACACCTTCCTCTTCCTTCGTCTTCGTTTCTCGCTGCGAAGCGCAAAAGGGGGAAGCTGGTTCAGCCTTGTTTCCCGACTTTGGATCCCTCTGTCGAAGGGTGAGTGCAAGAGTGTTTCCTGCTTGGTTGGCAGCAGCATGAGCGGTGCGGGCGATGACAGGTATGTACGTGAGATTTTTCTTTTTTGCCTTTTATCTGGAGAAGGAAGCTCTTTTTTTAGGGTTGTTCTGACGTGCGCTTGTAGATGGCGAGGTGGCCGTGGGTATGACCATGGCCGCCCTCAGGGCCAACGGCACCATAGCGGAGGATATCGAGATCGTCAGAGCGGTAGCCATGGCCATCGGAATCAAATGAACAATAACATGACCGCAACGGCAGCGTGGACAGGGCCTCCGAGCGGTCCCTCGCGTGAACCGCATACTCCTGTTCGAGGATTCAATTCCGCCGAGTCGAAGGATGCGCTGAAAAAAGGTACCGGGATATTTTGTGCAGAGTCTGACCCGGAAACTGAGCATCTGGGCATGTGCTAATTATTGGTATTCTTATTGCAGATTACAAGAAGGGAGGCCAGGGCGGTATGTCGAAGTCACACTACTCGCAACCCATTAACCGAGAATTTCCTCCGTATAGCTAGACCTTGGTGGCTGATACTTGCTTTGCAGAACCCCAACCAGTGATCTATAGGCCAACTGGCAAAGATGGCAACCCAGTTCGACCCAGTGGACCCTGGGGTTCAAAGCGTATGCTTCCCGCTCCTTTCATTATCCCGGCGTCCGCATGTTTATATAAACACCTAAAACTGACAGGGGACCTAGCAAATTCTATGGCCAATGGGAAGGATTTCTTCCTTGAGCTGCGAAAGCAAATATCCGGGCTCCAACAATCCAATGTCCAGGGCGGTTAATATTGCTTGAAGGATCTGGCGGGTGTTCCCTTCATAATATCTACACACTAGCAGCCAAAATACTTCTGTGGGAGGGAAACGTCTCTTGGGAGATAGGTAGGCTACACCATAACGACTGGACTGAATGAGTGACATCTTTAGTCCTCTATGTTTTGCTAGGGATAGAACAAATGGTATCATTTTTTGATCTCCTCCACTTAGCAATGATGCATATGGTTCCGCGTGCATTACGTAGAGGTTTCTCCAGGTGAAGGATGAAAATAGTAATCCGTTTCATATCGTACTATTCTTGGGCTACCGTAGTTTCAGCTTCCTCATACTCCGTATACGAGGGAATTCGTCTTGCCTACAGTCCAGGTCGTGATACAGAAATAGCATAAGAAAAACAATGCTAAATCCGGCCCCCATGCACCTTTTCTCCTCCCTTGGCCTGACATCTTCACGCAACGCTCGTCAGGATACCAGTACGTCTATTTCCGCCTGCATTTATGTTTCAGCATCACTCTTCTAACTCTTAATTGGTAGATTCTATACCCTCCAGTGTTGTCGCAAGTGGTTGTTTGGAAGACAGACTGAGATGGTCCTTTTATCAATTAGTCTGTCACGCCTGAAAAAAATCCAAGTTCGGGGCTGCATGACAGCCCGTTCTTCTACCTGCAGAAATCCTACGACGATGTTTACGAGCTGTACGATCCCGGGCCAATCTCTGATGCATGAGGGTGTTCAACATTTTAGCACCAGGCCGGCGGCTAGAGGTCGCTCGCCAAAGCCAATCCAGCACCTGCTTGCACGAACCAATGCGCAGGGTAAGATACCACGACACTAAAAGCGGAAAAGGGGGCATATATGCATACATATGATGCAGTATGGCCTGTTTCATCGATGCGACGCGGCCACACAGGAGTCCTCTCTGTCCTCTGTGGCCGATCTAGGGCTGTCCAGGTCCCTCCCAAACTCTGGATCTGACGTTTCTCGAATCCATTAGAGACCCAGCACAACCAGTTAGCACAAAAATAACGGTGCGCCGTGCCAGGGCATAGAGAGCCAATAGCAATTGCTTTACGTCTATTAATAGCGGCGATAGATGTTGGTTTGGGCCCTACTCCGTGCCGAGTCTCCGTCTCGAGATATAGGCGCGCTATATCTTGGGATTCCCGTCATATAGGCAGGACATTTCGGTGTCCGGGACCAGTGCGCCATGTACACGTCAACAAAAGAACGGCGGTATGCGAACGAGATCGGGGGAAGGCGAGAAGAGAAGGGGATATCCTTTATCCCCTGGCCCCCTTGCCACACCCATGAAAAAGAAAACACGGACTTTGCTGCACAACAATACAACGCTGGATGTACGATGAGCCAGCTGCCTCGCGGGATCCCATGGGCTGCACAGGGCGAAGCCAACTCCCAGAGTGGCAACTACAAGTACTGTCAGTACGAGCTGTGTGTATCCTTGGCTTATGCGGGCCGAGTGGGTTGGCGGCTAACCACCAGTACAATTGGTCGCTATTCCAGGGAGCGGGCCGTCCGTCAACTCTAATGTCAACCAGGCCTGAGGGTCCCGGCCAGTTTCGCCGGTATCTCCATTTGTTACGGTGATCCAGTCTCCCCCAGGCCGCAACGGGGTGTAACTACCAAAAGGAACTATCCAATGACTAATTTACTGACTATTAGGCGTGGAGGTTTGCTCCGAGTCTTCAAGTTTGGGGTAGATGGTTGGCGAACCATTTACTGAACCAGCCAGTTGACGAATTATTCACCTTCGTAGCTAACGAGTTAACCGCCGATATGTTGATCTATTTCGGATTTGCCTACTTGGTTACAGACAACCCGGGAGCGTACCTATTCGGCAGACTGTCTCTGCGAGATGCAACACAGCTCGTACTCGGTCTAACCACAGCGAACCCTAAACATCAGTCCTCTCCAAAATTAGCAGCACCCAGTCAGGCCCGGCAATCAATGCATCCCTCAGGCTGCGTGTTACTATACGTTTTTCCTCTCAGACAAACATTATCGAGGTGATGTCGCCTTAATCGGACCAGGAAACACCGTGGCAAGAGCTGCAGCCTGTTGGCATATTGGGGTACGGTCCAACTCAAGATCTGCTTCAGAATTGACCAGGGTCCGACTTTACAGACCCGCTCGTTTTGTCGTTTTTGCCAGGTATAACAATATGGGTCCTCACAGAGAGCCGCCTATGTGCTAATAATGCGTCCAACCAGTCCTCACAATACTCGATACCCCCGGCCAGTGAGCATTGCAGATTTGCGCGATTCCGGAAACCCATGACACATATATACTCCAGCCTAGTGCACAATTCAGCATCATCAAACGCACTATTGGCTTTATTTGTTTTTTAGTTTGCCCCCCTCGCCGTTCCGTCGTCGAAGCGCCTGGTGTGTTTGGCCCAGGCTCAGGCTGCAGCAGCGCAGAACCCTC